AGTATTGTAGAGGAAAACTAAAAGTCTTGATTTAATTTTAAATGTTTCTCCATTTAATTACTCAAGAGAAAAATCAATTTAGACCATTCCACACTTCATTTGCTTTAGAGCATGTAATTTTAAATGCTTGGTTTTGTACTTTGTCTCACTTTTTTTATTACTTCTACTGGAAAAGTATAAAACATAAGTTACAAAAAATATGAAAATTACTTAAACTTACTTACATTGTTTGAAATTTTTCATGGGAAAAAAACCAAAACAACAGATGTGAAGTCTATTTTTCTCTTTTGTTATAAGTTTCCCAAACTTTATAGTAGGAAAAAGGAAGAAAAGGGAAATTTCAAAATACTAGGAATAAAATTATCCATTTCTTGTTAGTAACACATGTTTTCAGAATTCCTCCACCAGTTATGAAACGCTTACAGCCCGCTGAAGGGACTCCATCCACTGTCATGCTTCAGAGGGCAGTTCGACGAACTTGTTGTTGGACATGCAACAACAGCATTTTGGAGTCAACTTAGAAAGTGTGACAACCCACCCAGATTTCCCCCCTTTTGCTGAGTATGTTTTCCACTCCTGGTGACTGCTAGAACCTTTGAAGGACTCAGGCTAATCAGTTTAAGGAATAACACATGGTACTGATAATAGAAAACTGACAGGTTCAATGGTTGCCATTGACAGTGACTGACTGCAAAAGCAAATTTAACACAAAATACAGATAAGCTCTGTTCACCAATGAGATAGGTGATCATTTATGGTGCATAAAGCTAGGTTCTTATTCAATAGCTGACCCTGTTAGGCTGGGAGAGACACCTGAGGCAGGGTAGATGTCAGGTTCAAGCTGTCAGCTAACCCCAGAAAGTATGATGGAGTTTTCCTTAACTCCTTCCCATTTCTAAATTACTTTTATATTATTTCTTTACATATAGGTGGAACCTGAGTCACTCTGGTCTTACATACTTTTCTTACTGATTGTTGTGAAATTCTCTCACTTTGATCATAAGATAGAGTCAAGAAAATATGGAATGCATGCTCAGGGAGGGGTGGTCGTACCTTGCAAGTGGATAATTTTGGGGTGGAGCTGTGTGTTAATATTTAAAATTTGATCAAAATGAACCAAGTTCACCTAAGAGGAGCAATTTCACCACAGTTGCTGGTTCAGCAGCAGGACATTTCCTATCTCCCTTGGCTGAGAGGTACTTTGTGGTTTACTGGCTACTTGGAAACATCGAGTTCCCCCTTTCAAGGATTACGATGGAGCCTGGCCGTGGTGTTTGTGCTCTGCTCCACCCTCCATCCCTCTCAGCAGGTGCTTAAAGTTGCAGGCTGTGTTGTCTGGGGAATCATGGTGGAATGGAATTTGTGCACACCAATTGCATTCCATCCAGGAAGCAGAAACTGCACTTCACCGTATAACATCTGCACTGTTATAGCTTCTGCTAGAAAGTGAGTATAACTGCCCAGTTTTCTAAAATTTTACCCCCAGTCATCTTCTCACAACATGAGACCATCATAATATTAGACACGGTACAGATACATGGAAATAAAATTCTTCCTCTCAGAGCACAATCCTAATATTCTGCTTCATCTTAGCCTAGCAAATGTGCTGAATATGTGTTTCCCAAGATACATTTGTACACAGAAAATAACTCATTTATCTGTAGAAACAAATAAATTATTCTGCCAAAATGACCAATGAAAAGAAAGCCGGGAAAAAAGAAATCAAAACAAGAAGTGGTCCCAGATTTCAAACACTTTTGAATTCCAAAATAGACCAATGAACATAATGTAAAAGCACACACCATCTGTGAAATACGTATTTCCTACAGGCTGATTGATGTAGAGAGTGGATAGTTGGTTCCAGACCATGTGTGAGTGAGTGGCAGATTTTGTTCTCTACAAAATATTTAACAAAACCCACACTGACATTTTATAGCATTATCATGTCAGCACATGACATTAAGAATAAAGATTAAAAAACATTTAAGGCATTTAACTGACTTAATTTCAGCAAATGACCTTTGCTGACATTACTTAAATGCTGTTTTGCAGTGAAAACAAAAAATTAGGTTCAATTGTTCACAGCCTGTCAGCATTTTAAATTACTTCAGGAAAAAATCTGATTTTTCAGAAAACTGGCACCTTTCCCAAAGGCCTGGATAGGGAGCTCTTAAACAACCTCAGGCAGTGAAGGAGCTAAAGGAGATGATGATAATGTTTTGGGAACACCTTTACCAGAAAGATTTTTCTCCACAGGCTGACTGATCTGCTGTCCTCTAGCTAAGCTAAAACTTTGACTGATCTGCTGTCCTCTAGCTAAGCTGAAACTTCAACATGCTGCTACATTTTTTTGATAGAGACCTAACTGTATCTCCAGTTTTTCTTTCAATTATTTTTGGTCTAATACCAACACCTGACATTTCCAGGTGTTTGTCTTGAACCGTATAAAAACAACAGAGTCAAACTTTTGAATTTCTCCTCCAGTATCCTACTGGAAAGAACAATTATTTCCATGTTCTTACATGGAATGTCCCTCATAGCATAACTATTTTTCCTTATATTTGCATGTTCTTATGTTTGCATGAACAAGAAACCATCAAGAATAAACACCAATCCAATTTCTCCTGGCATCCTTCTGCTCCTTTCACTTCTGGCCAATCAAACTTGAAAGAGCCCTTTTAGAAGTTCATACATCTTCATTTTCTTATCACAAATAATTAAAATGTGTTTTTCAGCTTTAAGTCCTATATGTTTACCTTTCAGACTTTAGGATTTCTGTGCCTTAAGTCTCATTGACAACTAGTATTTTCTAAACTTGAATATCTCTGTGTGCAAGGATCAACCAACTCGACATCAACTTGCACTTCTAATACCTGCACAGGTCATTACACATCCTATTTAATCCCTAATGACAATGATTTATGTGCATGAACTTTGTTTTCATTCTCCTTGTCCATCTCCATAAACAGTTCTGTCTTGCTAGAGAACTGCCTGCTTCAATAAAATTTTCTCATATAAAACTAAAGAGAATTTATCATATTATTAAAAAAAAGGGATTTGGGCATGCAGAAGGACATAACTTTTCCAATGAAAATTGAATATGATCAAAAACACAAAATCATCTTTTGCTAGGTACAAAACCAGTTTTCAGCTAAAGCATGTTTCCAGCTAAACTGGTTTCCAGCTGAAGCATGGAAGGTCTAATACATCATCATAACTTTAAAGGGGTTTATTAAGGCTTATTTCTCAATTTTCTTTAAAATTTAAGGTAGAAACTAGAATCTGTTAATTTAAAAATAAATAATTTCACTATGAGCCCTTAGTTTAAATGAGAGCCCTGTTCTGTGGATGCATATCAGCAAAACAGAAGTCTCTTTGTACTGACAGCAACTAGATGAAAATGCAGAGGGCTGGTTCCTGATGTTTGTCCTCTTTAGGTTTGTTAAATGCTGCACAGCAGCTCAGCATTAATAGCTGTGCTGCCTGGTAGCTTTGTCTTTGTTAAGCTCAAGTTAATGTTAAATGTAGTAATTTTTCAAGTCCATGGCAATTTGAAGTGGGAGCTAGTACCAGGACATGCATCCTCTTTTGAAACCTGTATGGGATCTCTCTCTGCCTACTGTGCCTAATTTCAAAGCCCAATGCAATCATTAGGAAAAGAGGGTTGTTTTCTCTCTTGTCTGTGTGCTCTAATTCACACCAATGTCATCAAAAACCTCTCATGATTCTTGCATAAATTGATCCTGTGTAGCCCTGACTGACATTCAGACCCCACAAAGTTGTATTTTTTCAAAGTTTAAAACCTTTATGACAAATCAAATCACCTGGGACACATTTGGACCCATTATAATTCCACTGAAAATATTTCAATGAAATCAAATAAGAAACAAATTTTCCATAAGAAACAAATTTTTAACCGAGCAGTGCCTTTGTCTAGCAGTTAGTACAGCCCTGCTCACTCCAGTATTGTATAGGGTGAAATCTGCTTTTATCCACCAGCTGAAAAGAAAGAAGGAAAAGGAGGAAAGTAATTCCAGGCCTCACCTGGTGGTTGCTGCATAGGCAAAAGTATGTTATTTGAGAATTCTTCAGGTGGCTGACTTGGAAGATTTGCTGGATTTTCATGGACCTCATAGTTCTGTACAGCCTTCACTAAGATATATCCTGGAATCCATCTTGCTGTTCCATTTATCTTCTTCTGCAATTTATGTTTTCATATTTTAGTGCAAACATCTGTTTATAATATATTTTTCTAATTCATCCCTTCCTTAAGCTTTTAATTGTAAAAGCTGTTACTTGGTACAGCTGCTCATCAGTTTTTGGTAGCAGAGACAAAAGTAAGGGGCTTTTTGGCCACTCCCTACCTGTGTTTGATAAGCAGTATACTTAGGTGCATTTCTGTATTTCAACTTCAAATTAGGATATTTCCAATTTTAAATACAGGATTTGGGCTTTACCTGTTACTAGAAGAAAGGTATTTTTATGGTAAAATAAATACTATCAAGTAGTGGTTTTGCACAACATTTTTTTAGAATATATTTTTATCAGATACTAAATATGCTGGTAGTCAAAAGCAGAGTAAGAAAGTGGCTGAGCAGAAAAGAGACTGCTCTTGAATCTCAGCACAGGCAGCTTCTACAGCTCCACTTCGTGGGACACCAGATGCTTTTGTAATATTAGAAAGCAACGATTTTATTTATGTTTTAATACCTCCTGTGAGCACACATTCCTGGGAGAAGAGAGAAAATGCAGCCTGGAAAGTACGGAGAAGAGAGAAAATGCAGCCTGATTATTATTATTATTATTATTATTATTATTATTACACGAAAAATTATGTCTGAAAATCTGTCATATTTAAGAACTGCATCTGTTATAAAGACTGTTAAAATAAAACCCTGGAGTTTCTTCAGATGGCTGTGTAGTGAGTTTTAGGGGTTACAATCAGACAAATGCCATTAACTTCATTTGCCTGCTTCTTTCACCTCCCTCTGCAGGTCTGATTAGACAGGATTTCAGTGGGAATTTCTCTGGAGCTGGAATACTGAAGTCATGCTGACTTTTTGTGCAAAGTGAAAATGGCACAGACTCCTAGACACATCCATTCACATACCAATGGATCCATGCAATATTTGCTCTTGTATTTGCTTTGAGAATGTCACAGCAGCACAGATACTGCAGTTAGGTGCATGGCTGTGGTAAGTTGCACCTGCCTTTATGGCCTTAGAACATAATGGCCATTTTATTTCTTGTAATACATTTTCAGCTGGTGGGAAAGTACTTGCTTTGTTTGCATTGGGATCCTTCTATGGTAGCAGACTGTGTCTCTGCAGGAATACAGGGCCACTTTTTATTTACTGGTGCTAATGGGACCATATGACTTTTACTGTCAGGTGGAAAATGAGGTCACTGCCAGATGTGTGAAACAAAATTGCATTTTGTACTGAAATTCTTTTTCTCAGTGAACTCAAAGTAAGCCTGCAAAGACAAACGTTCCGGCTAGTAATGACAATCACACTTTTTAAATTAAAATAGAACATGTGTTTTATAAAGGAGTTAAAGAAAATAAATGATAAAATGTGCCAAGTGCTGCAGCTAAATTAAAACTCTTTTTTCCAGGTGAAGCACTTTGATTTATTTCCCCAGACTACAAGGACTTTTTCACTGCCTTCTGCTATCAGCTAAGAAAAAGGAGCTTTTTATTTTCACAGTGGCACTCCAAGCTTTCTCAGATCTCTGAAATGAGTGATCCAGATGTTAAAGGACACAGCAGGACTCAATGGGGATTTGGAAAAGACTGGCAAATAGGTAAGGGCATAGCTTAAAGAGCAAGGATGAGTCTGTCTAAGTTTGAGAAGACTCACAAGTTCCTATAACTAGAAGAAACTTTGTCAGCCCCTGGATAACTTGTGAATGAGCCCTTTATTCAGATGAAAAACTCAGATATGGTGCAAGTACTGGAAGTAAATGTCTTATGGAAATCCTATTAAAATTTCTTTTCCTTTAGATAATTAATAAATGTTCAGCTTTTCCTTAATGTAATGTCTTTTTTCCAACTCAGATTATTTTACTGTGTCAATCAAAAGACTTTTCTAATCACATCTCAGCCCTTCACAAAATTCTGAGAAGTATTAATTATGGTCTATTAAAATGTAAAATGTAAATTAGAGTTAAAATACCAATCAGACGGATCATATGCATGATTTTTAACACACCTTGCACAAAACACTTTTAAATTTAGCAATTTAGCAATTAGCTAAATTTAGCTGATATTTCAGACTGAATTAATAACAAAGATCCCAATTCCAACATGATTCATCAATATATGTAAAAATTAGGACACTCTCAATGAAATATTTATAGCCTTTTATATTTCAGGTTTTTTCCTCCAGCTCTCCAAATGTATATATTCTTTCAAAAGTGTTTATATTGCTTGAAAATTGTACAGGAAAAAACATACATAGTTGCCTGATTTTCATTTTGCACAAACATATGCAGCATGTGTTCCAATTTGTATTCAAGTGTATCAGCTCATTCAAATGTGGGAGTTATATCAATGGATAACAGAGAAATGTCATTCCAAATGCAGAAAAAAGGTCTCATGTCCAGCTGGTAGCAAAGTTATGCAGAGCATAAAAAACTCTGTTCTTCCTTTTTCTTTTATACCTGCCTCCAAAAAACCACAAACAGATCATTAGTTTATCTCCTTGCTGTTTCTCAGACCAGCTGAGTTTTCCCTCAAGACCATCTCTATGCTTTTTGGAGTTTACCTTGCAGCTTAATATTTTTTCATAGGAGGATCATGTCTATTAATTGCTTATTGGAATAAACACTCATAAAACACACTGCACAAGCAAGTCCAAATTCACAGGAAGTTAAATATATATCAAGTTACAGACTCAAGTGTAAAGGCGCAAGGGAAGAATATCCATGCCTCACCTCTTAAATCAAAAATTCTATAAACCAGTTTATAAAAATACATTCTCTATGTCTGTGTGCATGATATTCATGCATGATACTGTGTCATGTAACTTGTGAAAATTTTATGAATGATGAGCCAATTAGCTTGTCCAGGGAAATGGACATCAGTATTTTTCCCAGTGAACTGAACAGTATTTTCTGTGAACTGCAGATGTATTTGTTTTTTCAAAATAGAAAATAATTTTATCTTTTTTAAATATTTAAGAAACATAGAAGTTATAAATGGCTATGCATGTCATAAATAAATGAATTTGTTGTTGGATATACATGTGACTAAAACACTCCCCCTCCTCAACAGGACAGGGTGAGAAAGTGAGATGAAAAAGCTCCTTGGGGAGGTAAGGTCAGAAAGGTCATTAACTTTCCTACTACCAACACCTTGACAACTACACCAAATACAGGATGGGAGTATGGAACAGTGAGGGGACAGCCAAACCCCTCTGAGAGATCCTTTCCCTCAAACTGACAATGCTATGAGCAAACTCCAGGACAACCACTAATCACACTGAACAGTGGCTACATAATTAGAGACAGATTATTGAAAGTGTCTGAAAAGCAGTGACAGTAATGGGGACTTTCATAAGGTGTGCATAGAACAGAAAAGCCCTGATGGCACTGCCATCCCCCGAGACATCCCCATCCCTGGGCTGAGCTCAGCAGGGTGGGGTGCAGGAGCACCTGCACCTAGCAGTTGAGTTAAGAAAATTAGGAAATTAAGATTTTAACTAGAATAGGAACAATTTTAAAAAATCAAGGTGAAAGAAACATATGAAAATTTAAGGTAGGAGCAATATAGGTGGTTAATGATTGCTAGGTGCAGTTAGTTAAAAGCAAGGATGCATATATTTTGCTTGTAGAAAAAAATGTAAAGTAGTCAATGATTGCCAAAATGAAATGAATAGCCCAAGGAGATATATAATTCCACTTGTTTTAAGCTGTATTTGTAGAAGGAGACAAGGAGGATGGACTGTTGTGGAAAAGCAAGGAACCATGTCTACTCCTGCAAGCAAAGATCTGAACTGTGTCCAGGAGAACCAGGAGAGCAGCCAACAGAACACAGTCAAAAAGTTCAAGTCTGAGGAAAAGAAAGATTTCATTAAAAAGACCCCAGACCCATTTCAAAGGAAGAACTGAGCATGCCCAGAGTGGCAAGGAGCTCATTACCATACGAGACGAGAGCAGGTGGAGTCAGACAATGAATATGTATCGTGTCTAATCCTATGCATATGTGATACTTTGGGGAATAAACAGAGAATAAGGGCAGTGGGGGCCATGCACACCTTTAGGAGATGACTCTGGCCTGTGGCCTGGCCATAATAAACATATGGGCAGGCCTCCCTCACTTTAAATAGTTACAGAGTCCTTTGTCCATGATTTTACTGCTTCACAGTGACCCACAGGAGGGGGAGTGCAGACTCCCCTGCTCAGCAGGCACACCTGGCACCTGTCCCTGGCACCACACGGGGCACCTGCAGCCACCTAGAGCGGGGGGAGGAGGTTGCCTGTGCTGCCAGAGAGTGCAAGAGTGCGTGGAACTATAGAGGGGTATTACCTATGGAAGGAAGTTTGGAAATCTGTTTTAAAGTCTTTCAAGCATCTGGGACTGTTGTGTCACCAATATTGATCCTGAATGTATAGTTCATTGATTGCCACTTCAGTGACTGCCAGTTAACTCTGTCATTAATAAATCAATAAACCGTCCAGCAGTGGCAAGGTTAAATATAGTAGAATATGAAGGATATTATGAAACAGGAACAACTTATAGAAAACAACAACTATTAGAAAACAGAACTTATAACTCCATTGCTAGGGAGAGCAATTCGAGAAAATTATACAGTATGTTTTGCAAACAGCAAGACTCCATATGTTTAGTAGTTATTATTTTTTCAGTTTATTGCAATACCACAATTTCCACCTGTTATTCACTGTTGATTTACAAAGGAGATAAAATGTTTGTGACTATTCTGGCTTCTGCAAGCACAGAATTTATTTCTCTTATAAGTTTTGAATGTCAGTATTTTGTTGCTGAGTGTGATTTCAAGCTGGCAAGCTTGGTTATCCAATGCTACATGGAGATGCAATGGTAACCAGCTCATAGAGCAGACAGGTTCAGCTGGAGAGAGGGTATTTACAGCAAAATCTTCAGTTTTTCCCGGGGAAAAATAGATTTCTGCAACAGGGCACAGAGTCAGCTCAACAGAGACATTAGAGAAAAAAAATCTGAGCCATGCTTCTCACTCAAAAATCAAATGTTTATGAAGAATTGTCTGAATATTTATCAGACAGAAGATTCTAAAAGCTGAGAAAGATGACTAAATTTTAGAAAATACTAAAAAGGATCAAAGTTCACATGGAAATCTTCTTCCCTGAATCATTCCTAATACAACAATCTTTCATGTGGACAAAGTTTTCCAGTGCTTCCAGAACACAGAAACAGATCTTTATTGACATCCCAGATACTAAATAAAGATTGTGGGGATACTGAATAGTTATTGAATAATTAGACCTTGTTTCTTAAAACATCCTTCATAAATGCAGTCTTTATTAAATGCAAAATAAACATTCAAACATGAGGGGCTTTTTAAACAGTAACATCCAACATTTCTACTAAGTAATTAATAAGAATATTTGCTTTTTTTTGGACACAGTCTGGTTTTGACAGTCATTCATAGGAAAAACTGTACATGTAATTAATTATTTTCTTTCCAGTTTTCTTCTGTGGCACTTCAACTCTAGATAAAAAACTATTTATTGCCTGATGTGCTGAAAAATCTCAGTTGTAAATGCCATCCTTCCTTACAATCCAAAATACTATAATTAATTAGTTAATATTACAGCAAGATAAAAAGGTTTAATATTCTGCTTATATTCAGATGTGAAAAGAGTTGGGTGTTTCATTATAGTTTGATTTGTAAAACCAAACAATTGGAAAATGCACAACTGCACAAAATTCTCTTGTAAAGGGGCTTCTAGAAGCAATTGTAATACTTCTGGCTAATGGCCAAGGTAAATAATGACTTTCATTGAATTTTGACATCTGGATTCTACATAGTACCTCCTGCAGAGTGTGAATTGTAGAATTGCTGATGTATTCATACACATGAGAGATATTCATCGTTTCACCCCTCCATCTGAGATTTGTTTTCTGATTGAAATAGAAAAAAAAAAAAAAGCAAAGGGAAAAAATTAAATTTCAAGGCCAAATTTATTGTTATTCTTTATAAGCAAGGCAACTGCTGATGAATCTGGATATAGCTGCCACTGATAGAAAGCTGAATAAACTGCCATTGGAATTATGGCCAGTATTATCTGTGGCATGTCTGCAGGCTCTCTGGTAAATTCAGTACCAAAATACTGCCAACTCATTCAGCACCTTTGTAGCAACAAAAAGGTGAAAATAAAGTGTCAGAATAAAAATGAAGTACTATGTCTAAAAAATTGATCCCTTTAAGACCAGATGACTGTTCTGCAGAAAGACTAAACTAGTTTAAGCCAACTTAATCTCACTTTACTCTTGGGCACAAGTTCTCAGTCCTTTCCTTGTGTCAGTACAAGCCTTTATGCAATCAGGCACGTGGCTACATCCTGCTGGGCCTACTGAAAGAAGTATTTTTCTGCATCAGATTTTAGCAGAATGAATTGCCTGGGTTGGCTGACTGGAAAGCTAATGTGAGTCATGCTGGCAGAAGTGCACAGCAGAAACACACCATGGAGAGCAGCTGAGAAATGTCCACTCCAAAATCCCAGCCAAGCAGATCAGCTGGAACCAAGTCTGCTTTTTAAATTGGCTCTGCTCTGAACTACGCAGGCTATCTTATCATCCATGTCACACAGCTCCTGTGATATTGTGATAAATAATATGAACAAGTAGAATAAATGTATTCTCCTCTGTCATGATCTGCATAAGAACTGAACAATATGTACTGCATAAAATAGGTCTGGGAAGACAAAGAGGTTATTTGTGTTGTAAAAACAATTGCTTTTGAAAAGAGTTGTTCATGCTAAAACAGCTAAAATTAGGAGAGACCTTGTTAAGAAAGGAAGTTTGCAACAGTCTGAAATGTTGCATTTTTATTTTTTAGTGTCACTGACACCTGCATCTGCTTCTTAAGGAGCACACAGTGGAAAGACCTCTCCTTCACTGCCTCATTCAGTTCCTTGCCATTGCAGACACCTATGCTGCATAGTTACTTTAAGTGTTTATCAAGATCAAATTTTTCAAGAAATTTGTTACATTTGTTATCCCCGGTACTTCTACGAGGAGAGTTTGAACCCAGCTTTCAGTGATAACTAACAGTAGACAGAACAGCTGAATATCTTCACAGAGTTCTCAAGTATTATTTTTAAACACCAGAAAAAGAAACCTCATTTCCTCTTCCAAATCACAGTAAAGACTCTCATGCTGACATTCCTATTCTTCCCTAAAGTTTCTGTAGCTAAAAATGTCTCTTCTGTATTTCTGTTTCTTGAGCAACCTACCTTTTTTTCACAATTTCTTTTAGTTCTTCCAGAATCTCAACTTCAGTGATTTTTTTGAAAAATCAAACAGGGATTTATGAAATATGGAATGTTCTTAATACATACTAATGATCCCATCAAATTAGAATGTGGCATCAGGATATCACCAGGATATTCAATAAAGGTTTTTCAAATGAGAGTTTTAGAAGCAGTTTCAGAAGATTTTCAAAGACATATTTTCTCAGTTACAAAAGTGTACATCAGTATCAGAAAAATAAAGAATTGTGCAAATGCTTTTTCTTGAAGCCAGCAGGAGGTATGGCTTAATCAAAATTGATTATCATTTTGATTAGCCTTTTGCTGATTGTATTTCCGTATCAACAGAAATAGTAGTATATAATAGTAAATAATTGGATCTATTTTGCAATTTAATTAATCATAGAATCAATTATTTAAATCAAACATATCAATTTCTTCTCCAAAACATTTAAACTGCTTGAAGGGCCTGTGGAGAAATGGTTACAAAAAATGAAAAGGAAACTAAGGAAATTAATATATACTTTACATAACCATATGCATTCAAAAGGCTTCAAGTTTGTGTAGCTCATGTTGAGCTGGACAAAAGTCAACAAAATCTACTCCTCCCTAGAATTACCAATGTAGCAAATAAAAGAAAAATACATTTTAAAAAAAACCAAAACAAAACACCTCACCAAAATTATAGCTATTACCCTGACTTTAATACAACCAAAATTATTTTAAAATCAATTTTTTCTTTAATAAGTGGAATTATATACTGCTGCACTGTTATGCAATGTTTCTTGTTATTCATTAAAGTGTGTGTCTGGAAACTGATGTTCCAGAATTTCTGAGGAATAGAAAGTATAAAATATACACATTGAAAGAGCAATAATCTCGGTCAGAAGAAAAAGTGGAAATTAATCTTTCTGAATCCTACATCTCTCTCTTCTATTTACATTCAAGCTAGCCACTAAAGAGAGTTCTTTTAAGGCTTTTGGTTCATAATTTATAGCAACAGCTATTGTTGGCTCACAGGGAATGTGAAAAGAAAAAAATACTTTCATGTAATTTTAAAAGAATAGGTGGTGTGCACTTCCCTGTTATGAACAGGCCACGGGAGCATTTTCAGCAGGTTCCACAGTCCTGAGCTACTTTGTACTCTCATTTTTGGGAGCAGGGCATTGCTCCTTTGGAAGGTGTCATCTCCAAAACATTTTCTCTTTGTCTTAATAAATGTGGACAGTTAATTTACTCTCCATTTTATGACAATGATATTCCAACACTTGAAAATCATAATTCATAGCACAGGTTGCCCTCAGCCTACCCTCTGCATCACTTACCTTCCTCATCCTTGCTTCACCCAGGCACAACAGAATGCCAAGCTGTAAAAGTTCCCTTGTTTGAATTAAAAAATTCAAATGAATCTTGACAGAACAAATAAAATGCATTATCCCTATGAAGTGTGCATTTCAGCCACCTTAAAAAAAAATCAGATCTTCAAAAGTTGTAATGCATCTTTCATATGTGTGAGAGAAGCATTACACTCACGCCTCATGGGTAAAACACTGCATATTTATAGTGACTCATTAAGCCATACTCAGGCATTCTGGACTGTTTCTTCCTCAAGCACATAAATAAAAATATGAAAAAAAAACCAAAATAGAGCTGAAAAATACTGAGGACAAACTCCAATAATTTTAACTGGGAATTCAAAAGCTATACTGCAGTGGTGTTCTGAGCACCATGACTTTAGATAGGGAAGTGATAATGGTGATTTGCATATAGAGGAGCTATTTGGACACCTCTGCTGGGTTTTGCCTTAAAGAAAAACAAGGTTGAATTACACATTATGTATTGGCAGTTTGCTTCATGTTCTAGACATCTAAAAGTAAATATAGAAATTTAAATTTGTCATTATCAGTGTGTAAAGTATTAAGAAAAATAGAAAGAAGATGTGGTGGAAGACAAAAAGTTCTTTTGCATTTTTTCTACACAATAATTTTTTTCACTTTCTGAAAAAGCTGAGATTTTTTTTTTTTTTCATGAACTACCACAGAAAAGACACACATTAACAAACCAAAGCTCTCTATAATGAAGATTAATCAGTTTTATGATGCTGCAAATTATTATAAATATTAAGAATAAGTTTCTGGACAGAGACTAATGAAGAAAAGTGCCCTGAAGTGCCTTTTCTAGCTGAAAGTTTGAGTATTTGGAAAACAGAGTGATTTTGAGCATTATTGTCTTGTTAATGTCCTCTCTGACATTTTTCCAGCAACACTCAGTAGAGGATAATTGACTGGGACATGTATAATCTAAAAAGAAACACACTTTTTATTTGAATTGCCATTATTGATCCAAATATCAGGTCTCCAGTCTGAATACATTTGGTTTCATAAGGAAAGCTATGGTATCTTACATGTGTACTGGATAAATCAGTAATGAACAAGTGCTAAATAGAGTCTGCTGGAGCTGAAATAGTACTGACAGAGTTTTTACATGTTGGTTTCAGCAACTGAGTGCAGCAATATTATTCTTGCCACATAGATAAGACATAAAATATACAGGTAGATTAGACTAGCAGGATTAATCTGTCCAAATGAAGCTGTCTACAGTATGAATGTCTGAATTTGAGCTAGGAACCAGGACAACTGTGTTAGAGGTAGACACATACTTTGCACATTTAGCGTAAAATAAGATTATTGATACAAGACTAACAGAGTCCAGCCATATGCTTCAATTTCAGTGAAGTTAATGTCTAGCAGAATTAGTTCAATGGAGAAAAGAAATTACTCAAAACAGCTCAGTCTGAATTCTGGAAGTTGCAGATTCCCACACAGTTGGATTTTTAAAAAGAATTCAAAATTCATTTAAACCTAAAGGAAAGTAATACTGAACAGAAGAAACATAGAGGTGAAAAAATATTGCTCAGCTTGAGGAAGCACCTTGGCAAAATAAATATGTTATTTGTCAAATTAATACTCTTTCCATTGCTATTTTCCTCCACAGGTACACAAGACTGTCCTCTGAGTCACACAATTTAGTAAACTGTGATTATACTAAACCCCAAATCAGAAAACTGGGAAATTATGGGAAAATGTCTGAAGGCATGTTGGAATGTTTATGAAAGAAAATAGAAGAAAGTCAAATTTCCAGTGTTTCCATATAATGGTAAGCCAGACAGGACATAATACCTACTTTTCTTAGGAACTTAGAACTAACGAGCAAGGTCTTTTATGTCTGATTAGACCAGGAGAAATTGGGACCAGAAGAAAAATTTGTGTCTTCAGCAGTCTCACTGAGGATAGATAGCATCATGTTCTGGGCTAAGTCTGTGAAAAAGATGGATGAAAATGACACAAATAAATACTGAACTCATTAACTGGAAAGAGCATCTCTGTCTCAGCCACCGAGGAGGGGAATGACTGTCTTTGATCTTGGCAGTAGCAGTTCAGTCTGCAGTTAGTATGTTCATGAAATACTGAGAAGCAAAACACGGAGAAGTACACATTGGGCCCTAGAAGGACATACTATGTCAGTAAATTAGCATGGGAAATTATTCCTCCTCTCACATGAGAAATACATGTGTTAGCAGAAGATCTGATGTAAATTTCCTTAGGCAGAGACCCTGCATCACTGTTCTCCCTGCCAACCTAAAGGTTAAATACTTAGCCCTATAGTTAAATACTGTGCTTTTTGGTTCAAGCAATTTCTGTGAAGTGTCAGAAGTTAATGTGTGTGGGGGAGCGTGTGTGTGTGTGTGTGTGTGTGTGTGTGTGTGTACACATGGTTTTTTTGAGAAAAGGATTTTGCTAAAAAAGCTGTAAAGGGAATTTATGCTGGCAAACCCTCAGGAAGAATAGGGGAAGAAAGGGTTTTGATAATACTAACATTAGTTACATTTCTGTGCTGGGCTTTGTGGGTGTATTTCAGTGAATAAGAGTACTGATAAGGTGGCACATTAAGTCCCTGGACTGAAGGCATAATGTGATATCACCAGGAACAGAAACATGTTTGAGATTCAACTTTTCTGACACATTCATTAGTACTATTCTTGCAAAAATTTCAGTATGAGAAACGCTGACCTGAGAATAAAAGTTTTGGCAGCTATTTGTCATTATCTTGCTCTATCTCCAAGTTAACCGCATGCAGGGAGTGAGACTGTACTTGAGAACACCTGGAAAACATCTGTGTTTTTAAGGAACAACACAATTAAGCTCTCTCCTTTCATCGGCAGGAGACCACACTTCTACTGCATAGCAATTGAATATAGTTTTTCTTTTATGATCACCAAAACTAGTGTACAGTATGCAGAATGTTTCATGGGAAATATGAAGTGTTCATTGCCCTTATTCACTGAAGAGATTGGAAAGAGATGGAAATCCATTCTAATTTAGCACCTGCTTTTGTCATCCTCAACATTTGCAGTCCATGTGCTGTAACTCTTGCTTTACAGCCTGTCAAGTTTGTTTACAGAAGCCTCACCCCTGGAGCAAGCAAGATAACCAAAGTAACCTGGTCAAAGACAAGGAAGAAAAGACTTCAAATACGGGATGATGGGATCCTGCAGAGGGAACATGGACTCCTTAATCACTCAGTATTGTTTCTCAGGGGAAAGTTTCTCATCTATCCCTTTTTTCCCCCTCTTCTTACCCACAGATAAAAGGTGTAGCCCCCTTGCCTTTACATGCCTGCCCTTTCCATCCTTCCCCACTCCGGCATTTGAATGCAGTTTTTCTGTAAAACACAAGCAGTAAACTCAAAGGAGGGGGAACCCCCCCCGCCCCCGATAAATATATCTAAATGGGTATATTCCCTTTTCCCAAACATTCTACTGATTATTTTCCCTAAAACATCTACTTTTTTGTTCTGTCAGTCCCTAGCCGCTCTCCTGGCCTTGTTGAAAGCTTTTTAATTCAGAGCCAAAGAGGAGGCCAGCTGACTGCAGGCAGGGCCTCACCTCAATCTGCCTCCTGCAGCCTCAGCCCTCTCTGAGAGGGATGGATCACTTAATTGTAATTATACTGCGCCAGCGTTTGCCTTTGCAAGTGCAGCAACTTTCATCAAAGCACTTTTCGAATATAAGAGACAAGTACAATTTCAAAATAGAGCAGTTTGAACCATTCTATTTAATCCAATAAAATGTAGTGGCAAATGGTATTTAAAAAAAAAACAAACTGACAAGGGAAAACAAAACAAAAACAAGCAAAAACTCAACAAACAAACCTGAAACACTAAACCCCAGAAAATATCAGAGTATAATGTTTAGTTTTGCATTTGTGAAAAATGCTTGCTTACTGATGAAGCAACAAGGTTTAAAAATGAGCGACGTTAAATTTCAAAAAATGTGTTTTTCAATGGTTAAATTACCTCTTTCTAGTTATTTTTTCAGGTTAAAGCAAGAAAAGTATGTCTGATGTAAGATTTGAAGCTGTAATACCCTGCTGGTATAAAGAAAGGTAGCATATATAAGCTGTATCCTTCAAACAAATAAATTTAAAAGGATGGAAGGAAAATACCACTTTTTCTTTCACTGTCCCAAACATGTCATTCAACACATGATATAAAATGAGCTTTCACACAGAGGGAGCTGCCCAGGTGTGTAAATGTGTTTGTTTACATTTCCAGAGCAGTGCAGGGAGCACCAAGCCTCCTGGCAGAAGCCACAGGCGTGTCTTGCCGAGCCTTGAACGCACACTCCAAGTCCCCTAGCTCTATCTAGTGGATGGAAAGCAGATTCTGCTTGCTGTGCAAACACTGCTTAATGCATTTGCTGAATGTTTTCATGCAATACCAACACCTTCTACTTTCACTTTTAGTGTAGCTATGCTGTCTATAAATTGATTTATGCAATAGCAAAAACGGCTGTATTATTTTATAATACTTCTGGTTTGCTCCTCTTGCACAAAAACTTTGTGATGGAGTTATAGAAAAAAATAATATTTTATTAGGCAACTGATATTATTGGACAAAAAGCAAAAATCACAGAAGTTCTTCTCTGGAGCTCAACAATAAATTTTATGTTTTGGACCAAACTAGATCCTCATCAAAAAGTATTATTTTCCTCTTTTTTTCCCTTCTTTTTTCTTGCATTATGAGTTTTTCATTATGAATACTTTGTTTACAAAGACACTGTTTTTCTCCTTTATACACAGTCTTGAATTAAAATCATAATGACTATAACACAAATATAATAAATAATATTTTTTATCTTTTCTTAACACAATTTAATATGGCATTTTTGTCTTAGTTGTTATATATTATACCTATTAAGATGAAAGAAAACAGAAGACAAAAATGTTCACACAACTATTAGCTAATAACAGTGTTCCCTCTTGAAACTTAAATTTAAATCCAGCTCAAACTTCCACCTACTCCTTCCTGCAAAACCTTGTGCGAGAAGGAAGACCTGCATGGGGGTTGCCAAATCGGGAATACGGTGCAGCCCTCGCCGTGAACTCAACTGGTGCCCAAAGGCCTGGCATGAGGAGGAAAAACTTTAAAGGGGATCCCCTAATCACTCATTTCTTAACAAGGTATTTGCCAGACTGAAGGGTGTGAAAGCTCCATTACAGTGCCTCGTTATCATCACACATTGCACAAATGTATGTGCATTTAGGGTCTCCCAAATGAACTGATGAGATGTTTGCCATATGAGCTGTGTTTTAAGGCCTACAGGAAATTTATGCTTGTGCTGAATGTAGCTGCCAACTCGCTTACTGAAGTGAGAAATAAGTATTTCTCATCCAAGAACTCTCATTTAACTCTGAACAATGTTTGCCTTTTCCTTTTGATCAGTAAATGCCTCTATAGCTGAAACTTTCTTCACTGCCAGAGCATTGTATCTGTTGAAACATTTTAACTAACTTCTTTTAACTTTTGCACAGAAAGTCTTTCCATCCTGCAGTCTGAGAGACGATCAACTTCTTGATGTATTGCGATTTCAGCAAAGGACAAGCGCTGTAAAAGTCGCAGAATCATAACTGCAATCAAAATTACACAAGTCTAAATAAATCAGGAGGATGTCAGAAAAGTAAAAGCGAACTGAAAGGAAATGAAAAAACATTGGCTTAGGTAGATTAGAAAAACATATATATTAGGAAGAAACAATCCGAATTTAAAGACACCTTAAGGCAATGTAGCATGTAACCTATCCACCTTCACTCCAGCCAACAAAAATGCACTGGCAAAAATCCTTCTTTCCCCATGATAATTGTGTTTACATTAAGATTTACAACAACAAATACAGAAAACTGTACTGTTAACTGTTCTGACTTTTTTAATTTATACAGTAATTTTTTAGATGAACTGACACAGCTTTATAGAAATAGACAAGTTTTATTTAATAAGAATATATGTCATCATTTTTATCACAGTCTTTCTTACAAAGATATTCCTTCTCCTCCCCTGACAATCTGCAGCTAGTATCACCATAACACAAAAAGATTCTAGCATGGACCTACCTGTAAATCAATACTTTTAAAAACTTTTTCCTAGCATTTTTCAAAGCATAGACACTTTGAAACATCTTCTAGTAGAGATAATGGTTCCTGTAAAGCAAATTTCACCTTAATGTCCTTAATTAGCTTTAGCAGACCTTTGTTTAGACCAAAGATCTCTATAGTCCTATGGAAGTGCAGATTTTAATTGAGTTAATCTATTTTGACACAGTAGAAGTACACATCATAGTTTTCATAACATGTAATTTTATCTACAATCAGACTGAATAATTGCTGAGGATCAGAGAGCAAGCAACTGGCAAAGATGAGAAGAGGCAGTCTTGTTTAGCACTTAGCTCTACAACACTCAAGTCTTATCATTAATTACTGTTTTTGCCTGAAGCTGACGACAATGTAGGTCTGGTGAGGGCACAGCACTGCCTTGGGAGGAGGGGATGCTCAGAAAATAATGTACTACAATTAAGATATTATTGTGCTGGGACTGAGAACATATCTGAGGTTTTTTGGTGCACTGAAATCATATCAATTACAAGATATTGTGATATTTTTAGTAAATACTAATATTGATCTGTCCCATTAATATTGTACACACATTCAGATCTTCTTGATTTAGCTTGTTTCCTAAATCAAAAAGTACATACACAGCTGATATTACATAAGCAATTAGCTAAATTAAAAGCTGGAATGAAAATAGGAATATTATCACCATTGTATATCATTGCAATTCAATGACTTCACACTTAAAAATCTACAACAGGAGGAAGGATTGTACAACTGGACACTTTAATGTACTTTGATGAAAATTTTCAAAATTTCTAAGACTTCTTTGTCCCTTGGTGAGGTTTTGCAAAAAACTGAAATGTCTAAATATAGGTATATAACAGTAATTTATTCTACATAGAATGACACTTAATTGAATTTTAACTACATCATGACAACCCTTTGAAAAAGAGGAATGAACCAGTCAGATTATTTCTTTATGATTAGGGGGAAAAAAAGAAATGTAAAAGCCTCTGCAAATCCTGAGTCCTTTTGTTGACAGCATGAAGTAGCCGAGAACAACATTTAGATACATATTAGGCATTTCTCTGATATACTGAAACACCTCTATGTAACAGTTTGCAATGTATCAGCCTCCCAAATGGGGGTTCAAGCTACGATAGGCCCATATAGACTCATTTTATTTGCACATTTTGAAAATACTCACCAGAAAACTCCCAGGGAGTTGAAATGCTTCTGGTCTTCAGATGAAGCATTTTCAACATTTATTTCTTGGACTTTTATATGACTATTCATTATATTGCTGAAGGGATATAATTTCACCCCCACCTTTTTAAATTGTATAAATAGCTACATAGATTGTAAGCCATATATTCCTGCCTTCCAGTGCTATCTCTATTGCACCTTGCCTATTAGGATTCAGTCATTACTAAAGACCATGGGCTTCATTCCCAAATTGTTTGTGATTGCAAACTCTCTTCTTGCTTGCCTGCAGACACACAACTGCAAATACAGTAAAAAATAACTGCATTTCCTACAACACTCCCTTATATCTCTTACTATCACTCTGCTTCCAGTTGTAATTCCTGATTTGTAGACTCCTGCTGCAGGCAGTCCCACAACACAAGTAATGAGTCATGCAGAGCAGTACAAAGTGCCCAGGCAAACAGGGGAAATCAGTTACGCACTCAGGAGTGCTGCAGCCAGCGAGGCAATATGTACAATTTAGACAGAGGCAATATATCTAGGGCATAGCTGAAGATATAAGCCCTTCCTCTTTCACCTAGTCAGAGCACAGCTGGGGAAGATAGAATTCATGACTGGAGCCTGGGCCATCCCAAGAGGGCAGTAACAACAAATCAGCAAAAGCAGCCTGCCAAAGGGAGACCAGGCAAGAAGTCCCTCTCTAAAATACGCTAAATGAAGGGAATCAGCGCATGGTAGGGACTGAATCCCTTGCATTGAACAGGAATAACTCAGCAGTGAGAAAGGGGATAAAAAGGAAATAAACTCTCTTTTTAAGGCTCAGTATACATGTGGAAGTTCACATATTTTATTGGCACACTTCTGAGTTGTAATGTATAAGGAAGAACTAGCATACTCGATTCCACCCTCTCTCCAAGACAGATGGTTTTGCTACTGAAGGAACAGCTGCCAGTGTGCCTCAGGCACAGTGAACAGGGACATCTTCAACTAGATCAGGTTGCTCAGAGCCCTGTCCAACATGACTTTGAATTTTTCTAGGGATGGGACACCTACAACTTCTCTTGCAAACCTGTTCCAATGTTGCACCAGCCTCATTGTAAAAAACTTCTTTATGTCTAACGCATTTTGACCCATCTTCAGTTCTAAAGCATTACCATTACAGTGATGCACACTGGCTTCCTGCCATCCTGCTTCACCTCAGCTGGTGTGAAGGGATGGAAACCTGAGCATCCACTGACAGTAAAGATCCAAAACATGTTATACTCTTCTCCCATTCTGGATGATTGGGGAACAAAGACTCTTGTCCTGTTAATTCTTGTAAGCACAAACATATAAATGAGTCGTGACTTATAATCACTTACCTCTTAATGGGAAAAATGTAATCTACTCTGCTAGCAAGCACAAAAATCACTCTTCATCACATCTCTGACAAGACCAGTGTGCCAGTAACACTTTCTTAGACTACAGATGGCATTTGTTCAGTGCTGGTTTTGAAGACCCTGGGCTTCCCCTCAAGGGTGCAAGAGCACAAAAGATGAGTGCATATGCCAAAGCCAGTCCTTCCTGAGTGCCATCACTTGCACGAGATTACTCTGTATAGCTTCAGGTTGCTGTGTAGGAGAAAACAACTAAGTATGCCACACATCATAATCAAATTCAGGGCTGAAGCGTTGAGTTAAATTCCGTCATTGCTATGGTGCAAGTACAGAGAAGCTCTACTCATGCTGGTGGATTTGAACTGATTTAAAATGAGGGTAAGTAAAACAAGGGGCAAGATTCCACATACTAAGGAATCTTCCCAGTTCTTGGGGTAGTGTTATGCAAAATTAAGTCATTCAAGGGAGGATTTTGAAAGAAAAAGCTCTGAAGAAATATTGGCCCTGCATTATACAGTATGAGGTCTGATATGCAAAGAGCTGAAACTGTACCTTATTATTTCAGGAATCATCTTTAAAATTCAAGATGAGCTAGAATAAGTCTTCTTAAAGCTAATAATTCCTTTCATTATTATTTACTCATCAAACAATGTATCAACTTTAAAAAAGCAGAGTGGGTGGGATTTTTCCACTTCTGTATTTAAAAATGTAAAATTTTACAAGGCAACAGATGATTTTGAACAGGTTAAAAGATGTTGTGATTATCTGGGGTCATTGCACTAATATAAATAAGATTACATGTATCCCACTGGAGGTGAGATTTGTTTTCTGTAAGAATATTACTTTTTTTTTCTTAATCATAGTGTCAGTTCAAACTGATTTTAGAATTAAATACAAATAGATGATGTCTACACTATGAGAGGTAAAAAAAATGTGGATTTCTTAAAAAAAACAATATTTGTGCCAGTCAGAACTAAAAGATATCTCTGTCTGCATGCTGTAGAGGAATGTCTATGCAGTAACTCAGCAAAAATCCTGCACGAAGATAAAAAATGTCAGTTATTATAGACTTAGTTGTCAGAACAGCTCTTAACAGCAGAAATGACACACAAGAGTGATGAAAAGAGGATATTTAAAAACCTTTTAATTTTACATAATCTGTAACAGAATAATTAGTTATAATTGTGATAATTAATAGCACTGATTTTGATTGGTATTAGAGAATATATAAATATTAAAAAGTTCTATTCTTGCATGGGAGAAAAAAAGTATGTTTAAGACACAGCTATCCAGACAGAAGAAAATACCTTTTATTTTTCGTCTTTCCAAGACCAGGATACAGCAAAACAGAAGGAAATTAATGAGAATAGAAATATTCTTGAAGTTCTTTCCTATCTTAGGAGGTGGAAATTCCATTTTATTATTTTTTAGGCTTAGTACTATTCTGCTTAATTATCCATTTCTTCATGTTCCCATCTCCACTTGTAATACTGTTGTAGGAAAAAATGCTTTTACGGTTTTGGTCTAAACAATCTCACTTGAATAATTTTTACTAAAAAATATGGTTCAGCAGTACTTTAAGTTTTGCAAGTGAACAAGAAACATTGCAGAGTTAAACCTGGGACTAATTTTTCTTCTATTAGTAAAGAATCTTTAAAATAAAAGCCTCTTCCATGATTACAAGTCTTGGCAGTATACTTGTATCCACCAGAAAACTAATCTGGATACAAGTGTGAATGCCATCAAATACCTGAGTCTGCTCCCTTGGACACTGAAATCTGATCCATAAAAACAGCAAGTTACCCAACAGTATTTCCATTAGATCTTTCATCTTGGAAACAAATTTCAGTGGATCTCTTGGGAAACATTTCATTGCTTCAGGAAGTGTGTGCTATATTCTGAAATTTGCTGGATTGACATGGTGGCAGTTTGCACAAAACTGCCAGGATAATCATCTACTGGATGAGACAAAATTAAGATGGTGCCAATATTTGACCACCAACTTGGATGTGTGATGTTTGGAGTTTCCTGGTCAAATTCAAATTTGATTATCTGCATATTCCTATCCCTTTAAATAATATGTTACAAAACTGAAGCAAACTATATAGACTTTTCTTCCATTTATTTTGTTCTGAAGTGCTTATCCTATCTATGGCTCAGTAAGAAGAATCTGTCCAGTCCTACTTTTAAAACAAATTATGTGTATGATGTGTGGGGAAGCTGTCCTGTGCTGGATCCAGTGGCCCAAGAGAGGCTGAGCAGACACACCCGTTAGGCACACACTCAAAGAACACACATATACACCTCACACAGACTCCTGGAACAGTCCTGAGAGGGGCCCAGGAGGACTGGCCCTTCCTCTGAGTCCTTAATTTGTGTTCCCAAATGCCACGGGGCTCTCTGCTCCTCTAGAGCTGTGGAGAACAGCTCATGGTGAGTTGATAAATCCTGGATAGTCCTAGGAGGTCCCAGTGCAAGGTATTATTTGGATTCCCTCTCTTTGTTTCTGTGCATACAGAAGAGCTTTTGTGACATAACACACAGATGCTGGTGCTCAAATTTTGTGTCTAGTCTTTGATCAGCAGGAAGTGCCACTCTGAGGAAAGACAGAAAATGTTAGAAGAATTTGTCTTTGGGATCAGCTTTGACAAAGCCCGTATTTCAATACCTCTTTCAGTGTCATTTCCATGAGGTCATGGACTTTATGAAGCAACAGCTTCCCAGCTCACACAGTGCACTCAGAGGGACACATCCTCTCCTATCAGAGAACAATGATTGGCCCCTGTCTTTTTCCAAGATTTGTGGTTACAAATTGCAGGCAAAATACAAGGAAGATACTGTGTGATTAATCATCTGGTTCCAACAAGACAAAACAGATTTTGTTTTGCAAGCTGTCATTTGTGAAGGTGCATAATGCAATACATAAATGGAGAGTGATCTCATATGAGCAATAGGAGCTGCATGGTTGGTTCTGACAGGTAAAAAGGAAATATCTCTCTCCCTGCTATCAGAATAGCAGGTGGCAGTAACATCCATTTCTGTTCATCAAAATTGCAAGGTGGCTAGTGCAGACTTTTCTACCATGTATTTTCATCTGAGCAAGTAACCCAGATCCACAAAAGCAATCCACTGGTAATCTGTGGTATCTCAAGAATTAATGAAAATTATACCAGATGACACTGGCATTTCCTTTGTCATCCCACACAGCTCTTTCTGAAATCTGCACTGAGCATTTGGTTTTAATGGTAAAACAAGCAAAATGACAGCACAGAGATGTTGCTGGCATCCAAAATTCTTACCATGGTCTCCCAGAAATGACCTGTACAGTTTCTAGATTTAAGAAATATATTGATCCATTTTATTCCCTCAGAAGAAAGCAATAAACAATAGATAGATCAGTGGACACTGAAAGTTAGGCTGAACCCTGATCCAAATGATAGGTTATATTGTCATGTCTGGAGTCAAGCACAGAGGCAAGGGGATGACAGGAGCATTTCAACTGTAACACTCATGGGACACAGCAAGGATCTTCAGGCTTCTCAGATCAAGCAGTACTGAGCTGCAGCAGCAGCTGAGCAGATGGAAAGCTGCTATCTGCTGGATGCCATTGTAGTACCAGTCCTTTTTGGCTCTTTGATGAGTTAGGAGAAATCACACATCAGTCCTATAGCATGCAGTGACTCTTCCAGAGCTTAGAGTGCTTGGAACCAGACCTTCCTTAAAATGTCAGATTAATTCATCACTTAAATTTACGGCAACTCCAGAGAAAACAACAACTAATTGAGTAACCCCTGTTCTCTATGTGGCGTCTTTAAGTAACATTTGATGTCTCAGTGCAATGACATTATTTGACACTCTCAGTCATGTGTACTTCAAAGTCAAAAACATGCTCTGAGTGGGGAAGCCCCATCAACACACTAACCATGATACATTAGCAGATTACAAAGCAGCTTTGTTAGCTATCTCCAAAACAACTTCCACTTGGGAACTGCCTCTAGAGATGTCCTTCACAACCACTTCTCTGTTGATGGGTCATATGCCAAGTATTTATTGGATGAAAAATTAAGCCTTTTGCCTGAAGCAGCCTTATGATCTCTGTTTTCTTTTGCTTATCCACAATCAGCATTAGCTTTTCTTTCTCATTCTTCTGGTTTTATTGATGCCAGTACATCTGCATGAATGCTCCCTTTCCCCTTTCAATCCTCAACACACCAAAATTAGAGTCTAAACAGTTCTGTATGCATATGTATATGTACATCTATTTGTATATCCTTAAGAGCACTGCCCTAAGTGTTCAGCAATAAAGAGATGTAAAGACAATCACTCACCACCTCCCACAAGCAGATCAGTGTCCAGCCAGTCTCCAAGCCATGGCTTCTTTGAAAAGGCTTCTGGATTTATTGTGGAGCATATTATATTGTATATGATATCACTTTGGTCAGTTTAGGCCAGCTGTTGCAGCTCTGTCCCCTTCCAGTTTATTGTCTACCCCAGCCCACTTGCTGGAAATGTAGAGTGAGAAAGAGAAAACCTTGATGCTGTGTAAAGCCTGCTCAGCAGTAGCTAACACACTGATGTGTTACCAACACTCTTCTACAAATCCAAAACACAGCACCACGTGGGCTCCTTTGAAGGAAATCTTCTCCATTCCAACCAGACACAGTACACTTTTGTACAATGTCTAAGAAAGCAGTTTTCAGTAACTTTGTCCTCAGCCCTAACTCTGAGAATTAATACAGTATAGAAAAGGATGTTGGTTTGTGGTTTTTTGCCCTTTGGTAATTTTTATCTGTTTCAATAAGCAGCCAGAGGTGCATGGGAGCTAAGATCCTAACTGAAGTGTGCCAATAAAGTGCCTATACTTCTCTGGGGTGAGTTGAACCCAATAGCTTTGAATTCAATTTAATATTCTACAGAAAGCCCATGTAGAGTGTACATGGAAGAGGCACAACACAGTGTCAGTATCAGCTGCAATTCTGTAAGTGGTGACAGCAAAACAAGAAACCCAAAACAAAACAACAAAAACAAAAAAGAGCAAGAAACTAAGGACATAACATTACCAGGATGGAACATCATAGTCAGTGTGAGATGGTAGAAGGCTCTATTTGTGGATGTTGTTATGATGAGACCTTAGTGTCAACAAAAAAATCAAAAAGCACTCTGAAATTACAGATTAAATGGAACAATCATTATTGTATACCTTCAATAAAAAAAGATTGCTCTGTAGTTGCAAACTTATCCAAGTGATTTCTCCCCTTCAACCAGTCATTCTTCATCCAGGAGCTTGTCTTTCTTTCTCAGGTGATGGATTAGAGCTTGCACAAAGCACTCTCACATGCTCAGTTCCCTTCTTCACATCTTTCTCCAATTGCTCAAGACTAACACATTTAGTGAATTTTCTTGCAAATAGTTTCTCTATTTACTTCCTTTACTGCCATGCCCTGGGACTGGCATTGGCATGTTTTCCACAGATGGTGTATTCAAATGTGTTACAACAGCAGAACTTCAGAGCAGCTCAATTAATGCTCTGCAAGAACCTTGCAAGATCAATTTTTATTTCACATGTTTGAAGAATTTTGAACATAATTGAGCTCTTTAGTTAAAAAGAACCAAACTAAACAAAAAAAATCATGAAGGTGTTGCAAAGAAAGAGTTGGAGGAAAAGGATTGCTAAGACTTGAATACTGCAACTTTGTGAAGAATTTCAATATTGAAAAATGCGGGTTTTGGTAGCAGATTGGCAGAGCAAAGCCATAAAGATATATGTAGTCAGAACCACCAAAAAAAATGGCTGTCCACATGCTGACAGATATCTAGGATATGTATCTGAATTTCAATAATTCAAATTCTGGGTGAAGTTATGTTTCTACTCAGAAATAGAGAGGTGGTTGGAATAGGTATATCTAGGTTGTGTTCATTCACTATGCATTTATGATTTTTCCTCCAGCAGATGGGAAAAAGGACACAATAGTATAGGTAAAATGGAAGTCCCTGTAAGCAAGCAGACCTCTCAAAGTATTTCATTAAGATGGAAACATGAAAGAAATTTCAGTAATGGCTTACATTAAATTACAAAAATGGAATACTGCCATTAAATGACTGGCACTTTTGTTGCAATGTTATTAAAGATGGTGCACCTAAAGATGATACACACATGAATACACACACACACATGAATATAGATACAAGTCTTTGACCAGACTAAGATTTAAATTCTGTTACCAAGAATGAAAACTACATTTTGGATCTGTGGTCCTTTCTTGAAAAGGCCATGCATATTCAACAGATAATTAAGCTTAGTTAACCAATGAAAAAGATATGCTTTAGCTTTCAGGTTCCACACTAGCTTTTAAAGAAAACTGTAGGTACATATAGAAAATACATCGGTGTATTTTAATGTGTTTTTCAGCACAGCAGGATAGCTTGAGATCCCAGAGGAACACTGCACAGTGCACTGCTGCCCTCTGGCTGGAGCCTGAAAGAATAAAATTTGAATATTTACTTACATACAAGGCATCATCATTTTGGCATGCTGGAGATATGTTAGCTAACAAATTCCAAATCTTTTCATATCTCATGAAAAATGAATCCTGGTTAGAAGCATGGCATTTCCAAATTGAAAATAATCTGCTATATGAAGGGGTGTGGAGATTTTGTATTGTTTTTCTGATCCTACATCACAAAACAGACTAAGTCATGATGGGTATGAGGTGCCTTCATTTCTCATTGCATACATTCAACATAAAATTTACCTGAGCAATGATATTATAGTGCTTCACTACATTTTCACTGTGTCCCTAGTGTTCCATTACATGATATGTCTAACTGTAGCTGTACACCAGTTTTTCTGACTGCTTTGCTAGTCTGTATCTTCTGGTATGTTTTCTTCTGCATACACTCATCATGGATAGATTTCTCCCACTAAAAATAAAGTGATCTGGCTAATTTTTTATGTACTAAAATAGATGGCCTAGCAGTCTGTTCAATGATCAGACAGCAACATGAGGCCCAGCAAACAAAGAAAATGAGCCATTCTATTATACCTTTAAACATTATAAAGGTACCATGCATCATGATCTTAGTACATCATAAATTACACTTTGGAGTCCCTTATCAAAACACTGGCACTTTCCATGGACATCTACCTGGTTCCAGTTTCATTCTCTTTAACACTCTGACATATTCCAGACTGTATAATCCAAACCTTCCTTGAAAAAAGCCTGCTGCTATGTTCTAACTGCAACAGATAGAAAGAAAATATAATATTCTGCTCCTTAGCTACATCTCTTACATGCCTAAAAACCATCAGCATACACAGCAATTCAATTATTCTTAGTAAACAGGCCCTACTTAGATGTCAAACTCACTTTGGTGCCCAGGATTTTCTCCAATAAATCTGCATTTTTTGAAGTGTGTCACCTTATTATCAAATCCTGAGAAGAATTTAATTGACAAAAATGGCCAGGTTTTTGTTTTTGTTAATATTTCCTGATCTGCCTCTTCTATATAATTGCTGAGCTGTGAAATGAACACAACCCAGACTCCTCTCTGAACAAACTGAGGATCTTCACATCCCTGTCTCAGTGTAGTATCCTTCTAGTGGAAAGTGTCCCTGCCCATGGCAAAGGGTTTGGAACCAGATGACTATTAAGATTCCTTTTAACTCAAACCATTCTATTGTTCTATGATTTTTATGACCCTGAGAAATCACCAGGAGCGTATGCAAAATTACAGATGCCTTATTTTTAACACTGCACATATTTATATTATCTAGCTTACAACGCTCTAGATATTGACCTCAGACTTGTATGAGTGAAGAGTATCTTCAGGCAACACTTGAAGATGAAATGTTAACAATACAACAGTCTATAATAACAATAATAACTAATTTCAGATGAGCAGAGTGAAGTAATTAACTTTTTCTTGTTGTCTTTCTAAGGAGTGTGCAAGAAAACTTAGCTGAGGATACATGCAACTTTAAAATTAATAAATGCTCTTGTTGAAATGAATGTTTTTATGCTTTCCCACAGAACTGGAGTTACTTTATTTTTATCATATTCCATTTAATCATATGGTCAGTGTCTTTTCAGAGTATGAGTCATTGAGGACTACTTAGAAAATACCTGTAGATTTATTTTATTGGTTTACCTTCTCTTGCTATAACTGTTCATAACTTGTAGAACATCAGTTCTAGACACCGGAGGTTTTTTATTTATATTATATCTTATTTATAAATTATAACTTTCTGTCAATTTATACATATACAGCAAGAGGTTTAGGTATGATGTTGTTTTGTCAATGTTGTGATAAGAAAAGATATGGACAATAAATTGTAGTATATATAATAAATGTCATGTTTATTAAATACAGTTATAGAAGTTCATTATATATTATCTTTTTAAAAGCAAATGTATACAGTGTCAGATAATTATAAACCCAAGACAAGTGAAAAGATGTCTTATAAACCCACACCAATGAATAGCTATTAATCTGTGTGACTGCTGGGACTAAATATTAAGTATGGTAAGTAAGTTCTTGGAGCAAGGGAATAATTTTTACGTGTGTCTTCTGCCAACAGCTTGTGAAAATGGTAAGTAACCAGATAGAGAGAAGATAAATTTCCAGAGCCTCTGAAGAAGTGCTTGGGCAGCAAAAGACAAGAACATTTCTCAGAATGGGAAGTTCTGCTTAAATGCAAAGCTAGACCTGGCCAATTCAAATTAGCCTGTAGCAAAGAAAAATAGCCCCCTATATACCCCCAAAACTGGGCATTCAAAAATGTACCATGTGAATAAGAGAGAAAATCAAATCATAGACTGAAACAAGGGAATTCAACATGTTTCTTTAATTTTTTTATTTCCTCTTCCTACCCAAGTATAAAATGAGTTCTTTGGAATCACACAAAAAGCTTCAGCATACCAGGTGCTACATTTCAAGTACAATGCTTTGTAGGGGAAGAATGGAAGATACACCAATAGGCCAGCAGCAGATTGCTGTTCACACCTTCCTAATTCTGCAAGCTGACAGAGGCATTGACTGAATCTTGTTTTTACTCCACTGATGACCAAACTCTTCCATTCACAAATTCCTACACACAGATCAAAATATTGTGACAAGATAAAGAACACCAAAAATCTCTGTTAATGTGGAGGTGGTGTATGAAACAAATTATCTTTAATAATAAAGGATAACAAGAGCAACAAGAATAAAGAACAAATCTAAACCCCACCTCCTGCTATTCCTAAAAAGTTATTTTTCTTTATACCAGCTGCCATTTCTAATTTTGGGATTGGTGTTTTTGTCTTTCTATTTCAACCTCTTTCATTATGGTTTCAACCTACTCTTTCTGCTCCTCTCCTCTCAGTTATCTTCTTCATACTTGATAAAATCAAGTTTCCAAATAAAGCACAGTTTAAGCTCTAAATTCTCTGACCTTTTCCCCTTTTCTTCCTCATTTGCCATTTAAATCTGAATTAACCCATTAACCATCAAAACAGGTCTAAAACCAGATCATTTTTTACTGCACAGTGGCCTGGCACTGCTGCTTTTCTATGAATTATTCCCTCTTCAAGTCACCATTTGTTTTTTTTTTTAGTATCTTTATTAACTATAATTCTTGAAAACTCTATTCAGTATCAGAATTCATGATATATAGATTATTATATAATGCATCCTGTCTTTTTTATGTCCATTAAGATTCCTGCCTCTCAAGTTCTACAGCCTCAGTCCTTTGCCCCTCTCTCTACAATGTTCATTGTTCTAGCTTATGTTTTAAATCAAACTCATATTCTTTTGGTTTAGCAACCCATCAGTTACTGAATAGTCTGGAACAAATCTCATAACCAAGCTGAACACAAAATTCCCTGCCTTCCCCAGTTCTGAACCCCACCCCTCATCACTGTCCCCATCACTCCCACTTTTCTGCAGCTTAAACACTCCAGTTACAGTTGTGTAGTTGCTCTTCTCCATTTCACCTTCTCTTTTCTTCTTTTCACCAGCAGATCTGCCCAAAAAAAACCCCACCTGTTTTTTAAAGCCTGTTAATGTTATTGCATGAATATATCAGCTTTGTGCTGCCATGAATGTACATGGACAATTAAATGTAATTACAATTTACTATACAAAGGAGGGGGGAAAATCCCAAAGCATTAAAACATTTTTAAATATATGTACTAATTTCAAAACTCTTAGCCATTCACTGTATGCATTTACACAGCACCACTATAGAAGAGTGCTCCTTCTAAATAAAATATCCCAGGCATTTATTCCTTTCACTATCCATTTCTTCGGTTTCCAACTCATAATGTTTCATAGCAACAAAGTATCGGATAAAAGTTTCGCCTAATGCTTCCTTAATGCATGAATCTTCCTCAAGTGCAACCAGAGCATCCTCTAGTTTCAGAGGGATCGACGAATGTTTCAGATCACCAGTGTGATTTTCTTCTTCAAGCATATCATCATAGCTGAGTCCTCTCTTTACTCCATCCAGACCTGCAGCAATGGTAGCAGCAAGGACCAGGTATGGGTTTGCTGCAGCAGAACTTAATTTATTCTCTATGTAAGTGCCTTTTCCACCATGACATTTGACATTAAAGGCACAGCTGTTATCATTATATGCCCATCTTGCATTTACAGTCTCCTTCGATTCTTTGCTGTATTTGGAATAAGACTTGCGGCAACTGGTGGTAGGAGCCATCAAGCAGCTAATAGCTGCTGTGTGTGCCAAGAGACCTGACAACCAATTTTTTCCAAGCTCTGAGAGCTCCTCAACTCCATAGCCGGCAGAAAACAAATTCTTCTGGCCATTGAGATCCCACAGGCTGTGTGATAGAGCCCCTGAATTGTAGAATCCTGATTCTGAGAAAAAGCTAGCCACGTAGTTGTACTTCTTAGCCACCTCTTTAAGGCCTGTTCTAAATGTGAAGGCACTGTCAGCTGCATCTAGGCCAAACCCTGGATGAAAAGTGATCTCCATCTGCCCAGGCCCACTGGAAGAAGAAAAGCTTTCAATGTTGGCACCAGCATAATACATTCCTTCAATGAGCTCCTGAATGAAAGTCTGGTCATGGTTATTTAGTATTGTGGCTGCAGGAAAGGATATTGTCTTTGAATTTACAACCTCAGTAATGCCATAAATACAAAATTCATAAGTGAATGCAGAGTGCAAAGAAAAGCCATTGTCCTGAAGCTGGCTCAGCTGTTTCTTGGCAATGTGCCTTGGGGAGGTCATTAGTGGGGCGCCCAGCACGGTGAAGGAATCACATATCACTCTTGCAGTCTGCTCAGTCCAGGGCAGTATTCGAAACGTTGATAAATCAGGGTTCAGAATTATGTCACAATTGAAATTGGTTGCATTTATGTAATCTAATTCATTATCTTTAGGATTCAGAGTCAGTTCAAGGTAACTTCTGGGCATGGCAATTCCATGAATTGCTTTCTCCTAAACACAGAGCAGAATGACATATTACCGAACCAGAAAAGAGCTCAATGGTATTTTTATGTATATGAAAGTTGTAAAATTCAGATTCTCAGGTAGAACAATGATATTTTCATAAAAGAACACTAAAATGCACTGATCCCTGATGTGAAGGGTAAGAGCCAATTACTGTGTCTTTATAGGGCAGAACAGTGTTCTGCAAGACTGGTATGGAAACTACGACACCAATGATCATTTTTTTAAATTTCCATGATGGACAAAAAAATTGTTCAACAATTATATTGCATGGTGTTTATGTAATTATGGGTATCACCAGTTAAATGCACACTTTGAAAATCAGACTTTAATCTATAGGTGGTCTATTTATACCCTCTGACCATTTTATTTACATAGACCCAAGTGACCACACAAGACTCATATCAGTTCAATTCAGACTGTTACTTCTCTTTAAATACTGTTTTACAGATGCAACATTTAATAGAAAAGTCTCACTTTCTAGACTCAAAAAGTTTGGGGTAAAATGCAGGGAAGCACTTCCAATACTTTCTTCTCCATTTGAACAGAAATCTTCAACTGATGAAAATGAAATGTGGGTAAGACCCCAAGGAGGGATCATCTACCTTCAATTAACCACCTTTACAACCTTATGATCAAACATTTTTCTGATGAAAGTTGCAATTAGGCCAAGTTCTATCAAGTGGAATTTGGCTCATATTTACATCTTACCTTTACTCTTCCAAGGGAAAAAAATTTCCATTTGTGTGAGCAGAGGAGACAGAACAAGCCCAGAAAGGGGCAAGCTCAGGGCTGAAAATAGCCAGTTTTGCATATCCAGATGGAAACTGAATGTGGTGGCTTCTCTTAATATGAATGAATGAATGAATGAATGAATGAATGAATGAATGAATGAATGAAATCTATCTTCTTTTAAGCACGTGGTGGTCAACAGTATCAATGATGTGATACCCATAATCAAAACTGCACACTCTGGTGAACTCTGCTCCAAGATGTCTAAGCTGTCCATTTGGCACTGAAAAAGGTGTCAAAAGTGACTACCCCATAGCAGTACCTCTCCCTCCTTGAACACTGCTACCTAATTTATCCTGCTTCCCAACTTGATTTTTATTTCCTGAATCATTACTATGGCAAATATTGCTGTTAAGTCCTTGTGCAACTCCATGATATTTTCATATTTTAATGATAAATATGAAATTTCTCATAACTAAAATGATTTTATTTTCATTTTATTTCTTTCAGGGTTTACTCCTTTCTATTTTGCAATTTAGAGATGTTCAGAAAACTAAAATATTTATAATATGTTAAATCTGAAAAGATATTTCTGAGGGAAAAGATTATTAGAACTTCAAAGAACTGAAATTATTAGCCTTATCTAATTGGGAGGAAAAAAGGAATAAATGATTGCAATGAGGAAAGTAGTCTAGATTCTTTGGGAACATGAGCAAGGGGAGGGAACAGATAATTTGTTCTAAGTTGGAGTTGCTGCCTGCAGTTTGAAAAAAAATATAATTTAAGGATGGAGGCATGAAAACACAAAAATGTACAACTAGAAACCAAAAAACTTACTTGAAAAAATCGAGAAGGAACATTCTTTGATCTTGACACACCATGGAGGTCTATTGATTCAAACCTGACAAACTGCACGTTGTCCCTGGCCATCTGCTGCTTTATAAATTCAATATGAGAGAGCAGGTAAAGGAGAGCTGTGTTTCCGAGGCCGTTTACATCAGGGTCTCTGTTGAATGCTAGAAGTGAAGAGGAATGTTCATGTCAAACAAAATAACCAATGCTGGAACAAGGTTGTTCTCCTAAGAAGTTTAACAGTAGGAAATTGTGGCATGGAGTGTAAAAACAGAAATGAGAAAAAGTTATGGATCATGAAAGAGTTTTGAAAATAAACACACTTATTTTTCCCTGACATCCTGTATAAAATTCCTTAATTTTTTGAACGTTCCATAATTTAAACTTGTTTTCAAGTTAATAAGAAAACACATGATAAATCCAGGAACTTATGAGGTTTGTTGAGTGTTTTTAGGAGCAAAAGCAGTAACAGGATACCTCTTTCCCACTGAAAACTGACAGAATGCAGGTGCTGTTTCTTCAATGGCTTTGTAAAGTGTGTTGATACAGAAACATAATAGAAAGGGCACTTGTCTTCTACTAAATCTTTCTCAAGGTCTCTTGAGGAGGATTGCTGTCTTCTCCAGCACAGGCAGTGACTTTTAAGGGAAGTTTACGCATTTGTGCATTTGCTATTATGGAGATGTCTTATCAACTGTATGGCAGAAGCTCTAGGACTCTAATAAACTCCTTGACATGAAGGCAGTAAAACCTGAGTATAACTCAGAGAACAGAGAAGGACACAGTAACTTCCTTTCACCAACCTGAATCACTCAGCCTGCTTTTCTTTTGAGTATCTATGTATTTTTTATTGGAGTTAAGCTACATAAGGCATTAACTTCCACTTAGTACAATAAACTAAAACAACCAGGAGTAAAATTTTATATTAACAGGTAAAAAACTGGGAAAAATATATTTATTTTCACATTTCTGGGAGAAAAGTCCTTCATTCTTCTTGAAGATGTGAGCAGATGAATTTTTGCAGATATTTCAAATCTACAACAGCAACCATTCACCACCAACCTTCAAGTCAAAGTTTAAAGATTCATGCTGAGGCACTCTGAAGGTTGGTGGGAGCAATCCTAATCTCTCCAGTCGCAAATTACCCAAACTAGAGCAGTAGCCAGCAGACACAAACACAGCTTTTCTCCTTCAGGGCAAGTAGGACTGCCAGTTGCAGGGCTGTGAGAAGGCTTACCAGCTGGCCCAGCACAAGGCTGTCAGATTATTCCCTGAGAGGGCCACAAATCCATCTGCAGTCACAGACTGCTCAGAATCTTTGAGTATTACTCGAGCATCCTCCAGCTTTGGTGGCAAGGAGGATACTTTTGGTCAGCCAAGCAAGAAAAAGATAAGTAATAACAGTGTTCAGTGAGGAATGGCAGCTGAAAACACAAAATTTAAGTGAATAGGAGAACAGAATAAAAATTGAATAGAAAGAAAATAATTTTGCCTCATTCACTTTTCCTTGTGATATCATGCCATCTTTCTCTTTGGTCTCTTTCAGCTCTAAGTTCCTTATGAAAATAGCTTTTTTCCCCCCCAATGTCTTCTATAAACACTGTGGCAACATACCCTTTAAAAAATGAGCATTAAATAAGGAAGCCCTGTTTGAATGTTTTGTGTAACATTCACTCTGTTACAGATGCTGCCAAAATACAAGAGCGAGCAGGGAGGACTGGCCTTGTCTTGCCTATACCACCAAGTAAGTTATTTGAATACCACTTCAGTCATCTTGTAATATTGTTCTACAACATTTAGGTTTATGGCATTTACCAGATTTGACTTTTTCATGAACATGACCATTATTTAGAAGTTTATTAACAGGTATAAACTGTGGCTGTTCAGTAGATTAATAGAACTTCAAAAGATTCTGAAAATCTTCCTAAAGCTTGTATCAAGAGAAGTTTTTTTAACTCCAGGGACAGAAATCTGAAGCTTTTACCTTTAAAGCAATGGTCAATGCTTTATTTTATACTTGTTTAATTTCCTTGGAAAATATGGTAAACATTTCCTGTCAACCATCTGTCACGCTGAGATTTTTATGTCTTTGTATTGTTCAAAGTAAGGCTTGGCTGACAACCCTTGACATCAGCCAACTTTTGAAGTAAATTTTGCAAGTATTTCTTAAAATGTCCTGAAATGTTGTCTGTTAAATTTTCATCTACTGAACAAATATTTTTCAGACAAAAATATATGAATCATGAAAAAAAAGGAACTTTAATTCTGATCCAATTAATTCTTTTAAACAGTATTCCTGAGAGATATAGATTATATAAATCAGTATCTAAGAAAAACACAGCTGTTATGTGCATTCATGTTATTGGTGCATAAATTCAGTTTAAAAATATAGCTACAAATATACTTAATTTAAACATCTGCCAATGGCAGGTGATTTTCCAAATGTCATATAAATGTTATATTAATATTATATATGTCTGCGTCTTTGAGCTAAAGTCATTTAAATAAAAACATAATTCCATTATGTGAACAAACATTAACAGAAAATTCATAAACATAAAATGCTTCAATAGAACACTAAGAAAGCAAAAATTAATAACTAAAGAAGCAAGAATTTGTCTTCTCCAGTTGGTCTTTTATGATCAAAAATATATATTTTTAAATTATGAGAATGAATTTTATATATTTGTCTTGTATTAGCCTGGAATTACTCTATATACCAGTGCATACACACCCTTCTAGTCAAAAGGCACTTATTCATCTACAAGATCCTTTTTCCAAAATCTTTTAAAGTCAATAGAAACAGTCATGCAGCCATCACATACTTTTTAGAGTTCATCTTTTATATCATTTGCAGATTAACTTTCTCATTGAAAGAATGTTTCTGTAAATTCTAATATAGATAAAAATGTCACCCCTGATTGATTTTGGAAATATGAGAGGGGATTTATTTCTTAAGTAATATTTAATGTCTAACTACTATCTGCTAATTTTTTACTGCATAGGACCCAAAATGTATTTTGTTGGTAGCCACATAAATCACTGTCAAACTACACCCATGATGCCAATAATTATTAAAGTTTGGAAAGGTACAGTAGGGAACTGAGTACTCTGTCTTTACTCAGTTCATATAGTCATTATTCAGAGCATTAGTTATTAGGGGTGAAGTAGATAATGAATATTTGACAGGCCTAGCTGATTTAGAATCACCATCTAAAAGTTTTACATTCTTCTAAGGGAGGATTCTGTTCATGAGTATAGCTTTTTCTCTAGGTTTCTGGGTGTCTAGAAATAAGAGCATCTTACTTTTCTTTTCAGAAAATCTCCTTAAATAAACACATAAGTTCAACGAGATGCTCAGATTTTTGTTCAGATTTTCATTTTAAAAATCAAAAATAGAAATCCAGACTAGCCATCTTTCTTTAAGCAGATCATTAAATATCTATATCAGTTTGGTAGGATACAGAAAAGAATCTAATGTTTATTTGTCTGTGGTTCTGTCTGCACTTCCCATTTAAATTACTTATTACCTATATTTCTTCAAAATCAAACAGAAAATTTGGATTTAGGAAAGGAATCACTGAGCAAAGTTGTGTGAGCCAAGGCATTCACTGTTGCAAACTGGGAAGTCCCTTCTGGATTAAAAATATTTGTCCTAATTTTTAAAAAAATCAAGAGACTCACAGAACAGTTTGGGTTGAAAGAAACCTTAGTTCCAGTGCCTATGCCACAGGAAAGGAAAGGACACCTTCCACTAGACTAAGTTGTTCAAATCTCCATCCAACCTGGCCTTGAATTACTCCAGAACGAGACAGCACTACGTTTAATTGGAACAAGATTAACTAGGAAAGAGACTTTGTACAGTATTGAAGGTAAGGACTAAACATTTCATGAACATGTTGTAGAACAAGAGGCAGCTGGCAGACATAACAAGAGAATGCATTTCCCTTAGATCCAACCTAACAATTTTTGTAACCTTTAACTGTTATGTAAAGTAAGCATCTCCAGTGGGTGGGAATAATTACAATCTGAATACACCTCCTTCTCACAGAGTCATGCAGTGACGAGCTTACAACAAATACCAGAGACAGATGAGGTGAATCTCAGCTGAGAGAGGACAAAATAGATCAGAAAGACTGGATGAAGTCCTGTCTGAGCATTTTTTTTATATAGATTAAGAGGAAAAATGGGAAATCATACAGAGTCACAGAGGAGGAAGATTTCAGCTATTAGTATGGAAGAAAAAGGACTAAAGTGTGTTAGGTTAAAAAAAAAAAAAAAAAAAGCAGCTCAGTTCAAAACATAGAGGAAAGAAAAATGTTGTGGAACCACAGATAAGGCATGAGGAAAGAACATGAAGGAACAGTGTGTCTTTGGTTCTTCACTTTAGGAGAGCTTCAAGAACGGCAGAGATTGTGTAAAATACGAAGTGGAAAAGGGTACCAAGTGAAAAAGACAGTCCTAAGTCCCAAAGTAAGACACTGTTATGGTGCAGGAATTACAGCACAGGCACTGACTGTGAAGTGACCACTTATATCCAGATTATACACAGTCCACTTACAGCTCCCAAGGAGTCTCCACTTCTATTTCCTTGTGACTGACTAGATTTACTGAGCAGAATCAATGGGGGCAGACATGTCTCCTCCAGGGGAGCACAGAGGACAGTGAAACTACATGGGGAGTTGAAATTTGGTTCAGAATTTGTGAGCAAATTTTTGTATGTCAATGGAGAGAAAAGCCTAGGATTTTTCTTTGCTGAAGGATTCAAAATTCTGTCCCTAAATATGAGGTAGCATCATTTGTTAATGCCTCATTATTAACAATAAGAGCTTTGAACAAGTCAAGCGTAAGAACGTGAGGTTAATACTGTAGAAGAAAACAAGATTCCTTGTAGGCCTGATAAAATCCACTTTTAAGTATGAAATATGGCCTGTTAGTGTCTTCTTGATATATTTTTCTTTAAAAAGCCAAGTTAACAAAGGAATTTAGTGTTTGGTGTCAGCATGTGATTCTTGGAACATTCAGACTTTCTTGTGCGCTTGAAATTTCAACAGTCACTAGGTAGCCACTGGTGCCTGCAGCCATAGCTGAAACATATATTCTTCAGAAAATTTCCTCTCTATCAAACAGTTCCTGGTCTCATGTTGCTCATATTTACAGGGCCATATACTTGACATATACTCAAGAATATAAGTCCTGTTGAGAGGACCTACTTTTGGCAGCTGCCTGGGGGTGATGTTGTTTGCTAAGGTCCAGAAGAGTGATTTCTCCCCAGCCTGTGTGGTGTCACCAGGCTCAGCTGGTCCTTCTGCCCATATGCAGAGCATGTGGCTGCTGAGGCCACCTGCAGTCCCTGGCTCTGGCAGCCCACATCCCCGTGTCAGAGGGGACGATACACCAAGAGTGTGGGGTATCGTGATCCTTGGGTGCTTCACATTGCTTGAATGAACTTATTGCCTTTGACCTCCTCTCTGACTGCTACAATATTAATATTCTAACTTAGTAGCACACAGAGCAGTATGTGGTAAGATTTCAGTTCAGACAGGTCAATATACACCTACCTTTTGTGCTATATACACTACTCATATAGCACATATATGAATTCATCCTGTGTGCACGTACTTACTATGAATGGTTATTTAATACTACACACATCATTTACTCTTATTCTTTTTCTAATTCTTTATTGATTGGAATCCTCCCTCTTTGTCTCCCAAGATTGCACGCATTGAGTGGCTTAAGAAGCACCTGGTAATTGATGACTACAGACCAACTTGCAGAAATGCACATCATTATCAGATATAGACACTTTGGTAAATAAAATTCCTAAATTCAAGTTAGTGCTGTCAGTATATTCATCTAATTAGCTGCATGTGTTAGTTTCTATCTTCCCATGGAAAAGCACTTTAGACTGAGTTTTAGCTTTAGCTTCATCTTCAGTTTCTCTGACATTGTTCAAGTACCATTTTTCTTACTAATCCAAAAATCTGATGTCTACTTTTTTTCTATTATTTTTTTCCCATGCCCAAGCACTTATTTTACAAAAGATCTGACAAGAAATGGACAAAATGCACATGCAATAATATTTCCACATTGTCCAATCAGAATTTTGGAAAAAATATATGGATTTATCATTTTAGAGAGATGTTAGCCATGTAACTAACATGACTGTATATAAATCTTCTGAATCACTGATGTTCAGTTAAATGTTTTAACCTTCTACTGCTGATCTCTAGAGATTGTCTCTTAAGTGTGTCCTTTTATAACAATAAAGTATATTTCTGTTTTGGCCATATCTCAACACTGAGTGGATCTGAAATATAACCTCTTGTAATTTTTCCAAATATTTTGGACAAAATTTTCTGATTTGAGCAAGTTTAAATATTTGAAAACTTACAAATTATTGGAGATTGTATTTCAGATCTATTCAGTGTTAATATATTCTTAGATCCAAGACTTCAGGCAATTTGGTAACTGAAATATTTAACATAATGCTTTATTTTAAAAAATGAAAATATTTAGGACTTGATCTTATCAATCAATAAATTACCACAGGCAGCAATTAAATACTGTTTTTACAAAGGCTCATTAAACAGTGCAGAATTTTATGTAAAACTTTCTTTTCTTCATTCAAGTTACTGAATGTATCCAATGAAAATTAAATTTTGTACACATAAAGTTCCGATTAAATAGAAACTATTTCTGTGCATTCCATTTACTCGTTGAAATGCACAGTGAGCCCTACAACTAGTTCAGTCAAAGCTAAATGGAATCCAAACCCCATGAGATTCCAAAATGTTTGATATTGAATACTTTTCTGATGAGACAAAACAGTTTTCTCACAGCTCCCCTCATAGTTAATTCTCTTCTGTAAGTCTCTTTCTGCTATCACTACCAGCAGTCTTACAGGGTAGGATTAATCCCAGGTAGCTTTAGGCATCTCAGAGTTAGAAAAACTACCTAACCTAATCATCACAGGACTTCTTCCCCACTGAGTAGAAATATACACCCACATTCAGTGATCAATTTTTCATCCACCCCTAATACCTCTTTGAAGACAAAATGCCTGTCTCTATGGACTAGGTAATAAGCTTGGATTAACTACTTCATGTTGAGTGGGTACAACTGGGTTGAAATCTCCCTGTGGAATCTACAATTAATCTCATCAGTTCTCTCTACTTTGTAAGTGGTGCTATGACAATGAATAATTAGTCTTATGTTTTAAAATATACTTGCTGGTTTTGCAGACAATGATAACACAGTAGTGATAAAATTTTGATAATGAATTTTGCTAGCCTTTATCAATGTGAAAAACAATGTAGTCTGGAAAGGGAACAGCATCAAGTGAAGGCTGAGAAATAATCCTCTAACCTTTTTATACTAATAGACATGAATAGAGAATGGTTCAAGTGTGAAGTATCTTTTCCAAGCTTTGTATTTCTCATGCAATGCCTTGAGTAAACACTGATACTGTTCATGGATATATTTTTCAGACTTGTTCAAAACAGGTAATACAAAATGTCTACCAAGAAGTCCTGCAGCAACTAACAACATGTTCAAATTGTCTGTTTTCAGAGTATTTATAGCAGGGTTTCTATCCATCTGTCAGGTAACCTGAAAAAATCAGGATATATTAATATTATTGTAAACATTTAGTTGATGTTATTTTGGGGTTTTTTGTGTAGGTAATGATGGATAAAATATTTTATCAATGAAGAGCTTCATATTTCTTATACCAGTAAGATAAGTCAAAAGGAAAGATATTTGTCCTGGAAAGATGATAATGTGATCTCAGGCTGATGCTCATGGAAATGTATTAATCTCATATTCATACAACTGACAAAATGGTGTTTTTGTGCTTCTGGAAACAGAACAAACTGTTCAAGCCCATTACATTATCACAGCTAATAATAGTTTTCAGTTTGTTGATCCAGCTAGCCCAGAAGCTTTTAAAAAGAAATCACAGCCTATTAGTAGCAATTAATTGTCTCCATAAACCCTCCCAAAATGGACTTGAGCAGCATGAAAATAAGTGGAAATCCTCTCTGCCTCATTTGCTTTTCTTCCCATATAATTTATAAAAGATGTTTTTGCATTCCAGTTCTCTCACAAGATAAATAATAGAAAACATCATCCCTACATGGGAGCAATTTCTACTGCTGGAAATATTTTTTAAAAAGGAAATTTTAAGAAGCACAGATGCCACCAGAGCTTTGCAGTGTCTAGCAGAATTTTTGGAAATGCTGCCTGCACTCAGTTTAAATGAGGAAATATTTCAGTTTTAGTGAAAAAGACATGAGCACTTGTGCGTGAAAGTTTTTGGCAGGCAGTTGGGCTTTATAAATGCCTTGTTTTTTAAAAAGAAAAAAAAAGCAGCATAGATGTAGAGCGCAATATCCAATCCATCCTGATCACACAGAAACCACAGGTGCCAGTTCTCTCGTGCGCTAGCTCTGACTTAAGTTCACAGCTTAGCAAAACGCCACAAAACAACAGGAGCATTTTCTTTAAGAGGAGAGCAGGTGATGTTTAAGAATCCTTACCGTCCAGGCCTGCAGAGGAGTCAAACTGAACCTCGGGGGCTGAGCTTTCTGCAGGAGTAGGAGCTGCTGGTAGTCCCAGAATGAGGTGATCCACATCGCTTCCCACTGGGTGCTGCTGGTCAGAGCCGGCAGAGCTGAGGACCAGGACGGTTTTGCTCTGCTGCCCCACTCCCTCCTTGTGGAAGCTGAGATACTTCTGCTTTTCTTTGCCAAAATGGGGACTAAAAGTGTCAAAGGGCTGGCCCTGCTTGTCAGCTGCGTTCTCCTGGGGTTTCAGATTTTTCTGAGCAAAAGTGCCACCTGCCTTGCCACAGAAACTGGGCCCATGAGAAGGCAGATGACCTTCACTCAGCAGGTTTTTCAGCTCTTGTAGACTTCGTTTAGAAATGCCAGGTGCCCCCTTGAAGGACTCAGCAGTATGGCTCCCTGGCATGGATGCAGCGCTTCCCAGGGAGCCCATCTTTGTCACATGAAACTTGATAATTTTTTCTTCCATCCCACCCCGTTGTTCTGGTTTACCCCCAACCTGCTCACTGTCCTTCTCCCTCTGCACTGCCTCAGTGCAGACACCTTTCTCTGCACCCCTCACAGGCTGCACAGCCGTGGGCAGCTTCATCTGAGCTGCTGTGTCTGTTTCCTCATGCATTTTTCCCAATATTCTTTTCCCAGTATCAGCATACTCCCGGGTTTCTCGAGTTTCTGCACACCTGTCTTCTTTACCATTGCTGCCAGAATTGGAGTTGTCGTGACTTCCTCTGTCCTTTTGTACTGGAGGACAGGTAGTGGGGGTTTGGAGACACTGCTCTGATGGCAGTTCTGAGCAGCCAGTGGTTCCTTTAAGGGCACAAGGATCTGGGATTTTTGAGGTGTGGGACAGCTCCATCTTCTCATTTTCTAGAGGAGGAACATACTTTGGAGGACCTTTGATTCCCTTTTTCTTTCTGAAACCACATATATTGTTGCCATCAACTTCATCATTGTCACTTTCAGATGTGTTCTGTAACCAGCAATAAAATACACAACCAAACAACATGCATCAATGACACAGAACATGGAAATGGAGCACTACCACCTGCTGCATTTACCTTCTAGTACTTCCACTACTTCTTGATGATGGAAGTCTCTGTGAACACTTATTTTGACCTTTAAAAGATCTCACAGAATTATTTTTCCTATGTTTTAGAACAAAACTGGAGGAAACACTTTCATAATACTGCTCTTAGGTAGATTTAGTAGATTATAAGAAATAGTACATTGCGTGACATAATTTGCCAAACATATGTCCTTTAAAGTTGAAAAAAGTGTACTTTAGTACTTACAATTAAGAATCTTCCTGGTCACATTAGAAGTATTTGTATTTATAAAGGAAATGTATTGCCCTGAAACACAGAACACTGGAAATTCTTATGAGTGTGAGGATTGAAACCTGAAAATAAGCAGCTTTTAAATTAATTTCAGGACATATTTTGGACAAATAACTGAACTCTCGAAACAGTGTTCAAAAGGAAAAACTCATATTTGGATGTTTAAACAGGAAAGAAAGAACCTGATGTTTACCTTTATATATGGCACTGATATAGTTTATATTGTAGTGGGAGCAGATTTTAAAATGGATGTAAACCTGCAGAAAAAGTGCAAAACAGAGCTACAAAAATTAATGTGCTTGAATTATCCCCAAACATATAAAGCATCTGGATCATCATCTCTCCTAAGTATCCTGATCCTACTTCAGGTGTGATTAATTTCATGGTGACAGGGAAAGGGACAGGAAATCAAAACCAGACACTTTCAAACTAAAAAAATAGCACTGATTTCAATATTGTGATTAATTATCAAGATAGTGATTGAATTCTTCCTCTCACAATGTCTTAAAAAAAGACTCCCTAACTTGGTTCACTCAAAATCACTGTATAGCAAATCACAAACTATTATATTACTAATGAACACCTACTCAAGTATGCATATAAGAGATAGGAACACTCCTTTGTTTGCTTGGGTTGGGCTAGAATTAGAACCTGTAAAAACACTGGGAAATCAAGGGATATCCTCTGAATGAGACCATTCTTTACCTTTTCCACAAAGGAATAGTCTGCACTCTCTCCAATTTCTGAATTTCCAGAAGAAGGGATCTGCACAAAAGCAAAGTGAATGCCAGTCTGGGTAAGGCAAAAGTGATTTATGTTGGCAGACAAAAGCACGTAGAGGGAAAGGCAGCAGCATCCAATGTGCATATTAAATGAAGCAGCTACATGGTCCACATGAAGTTCATTAACATCTTCCCTTTTTCTTCATCATTCCTCCATTTTTTTCACTATTTTCTCACCATGCTATTCTCCATCATTTTGTAGTCAATGAGGTTTATGGCTTCTCTCCTAATGAAGAGCTCACAGGAATGTTTCCTCCCTCTCTCCTGCCTGCCCCAAATTTCCATGACAGGCTGTCTGCACAGCTACTTTGGAGCTCCCTGGGACACTGCTGCTGGCGTGGCAGGCAGCTGGCCAGCAGCTCTGTGGGGAGGACAAACCCGTAACTCCCACACACATATTCTGGCAGAATATGTGTGATATTCTGTGATGCCTGTGATGCCCATCAAACACAGCCACTGGTGCATTCACAACAAAAAAAAAGTTTTAGCACTTCATGTTTAACAAACCCATTTCTTCATCCAAGGACTTTGTTTATTCCCATAACACATCTATAATACCCCACAAAACCATTCTAGGTGTTTGCTGATTTCCCTGCACATTCACTCATGCAGAATTTCTTACAGCTCTGTATCATTATGAAAGAGAAACGTAAAAAACAACTTTTTTGAAGAGCAAAGTGGACAAAAGCAGATTATAATTCAGAATTATAATTTTAATACTTTCCTTAGTAATACATAAAGGGAATGAAGTTGGGGGAGAAACAGTAGGAGTGGAGGAACTGGGGTCTGCCAAATGGAAAAACACAAGTCTTAAAATAAAAGATTCATCATATTAAATTTCTAAACATATAACACTGTTTTTGAGACAAAGTAGAGAAGAGTTCCAGATATGAAGGCTATAGTAATAAAGAAATTATTAATTAATTTATGAAAAATATTTGCTTCAATATACTTTGTGGCAGAAGCTGCCATCATCAGAATATCTTAATTTACAATTGATGGGATTTTCAGAATTCTTTTTTTTCCTTGAGTGACTCAAAACCAGTAACATAATCATAACACCATATGCATTTCTGATTTATAATGTCTGCTGATAGCTACTGAAAAATTTAAAATCAGACTAAATTTTTGCCTGTTATCCCTATTATAGATCTCTAAGAAATGTTCAGCAAAACCACTGAAGGAAAGTTGAGCTCATCCTGTTTTTTAATTCCTTTACTGAGTCAGGCAAATCAAAGGATTGTTCATATGTCAGCAGCAAAATGTCAGAAATCTACTTATTCGTATAAATAGTCATTTTAAAGGATTTAATGAACACAAGGTACCAGTCCCACATTATAATCCTTACCAAAACAAATTCCTTCTGAATAGACATGATCAGGATAAGGACTGATCACTTGCAAGTTTGTAAATGGAAATGTTCTTTTGCAACAGACCTCTAATAACTCATGTGTCTATAGCAGTTTGCAAAAGGTTTATTTTCCATGAAGAAGTAGGCTATGGTACAGCAGTTTGATTTTAGACCCAAAAGAAATACTGTACCCATTACTCTTAAACAAAAACAGTGATCATTTTTACTTTCCAATAAACAAAACTCTTACAATTATACATAGAACAACCTACACATTACTTTAGGTCCTCAGCAAAATACACATTGTGATTTTTTGCAGGTAAATGACACTTAATTTCTAAATAAACTTGGACATTATGGACTTTCATTTAGAAAAAAATATTTTTTCATTTTCATTTTAATTTTCATTTCATTTCATCTTATTCACAGTATTTTCTGCAGTGAAATAAATGTTTCTATTTGTATTCTAATTGTTGCAAGATACCACTACAACATCTCTTCATATTAAAGACAGTCACGTGCATGAGATATAACATAGATTTAGACTTTTCTAGTAGTTTATGTGATGTCTCACCTCAGAAAAGTCTTAATACATGGGTACAGAGGGAAGACCACCCAGGAATAAGACTTATGAATTATCTGTTTAAATTTTTATTTCTTGAAAGGAAATTTTTTTTTTAGAGAAGATGGAGATGGTTAAAAGAAATAGTGCCTTGAAGGAGATACAGTGCAAGTGAGTTGGCTAGAAATATCACTACTTAATTGAACCATGTATTGTGCTGTGCTGAAAGGAAAGCAAAACAGTCATGGCATTAATACAGCAAAAATTCTGACTACATTTAATTTCCTTCCTGAATGTTCCTACATTTTTTCTGGCTCTGCATCAACAGTATTAGGAAATAGGCGTTTCTAAAGTTCTTTTACCCAACATTTGTTTCAGTATCAATAAATTTTTGTTTGCTGATTTTCAAATATTTGCTCGCACCTTAAGTTAGAGGTCTTGGCAGCTCTGAAATTTGCTTCTCCGTGTTACAAAGTGAATGCCTGGTCAGCGATTCAAATATTCCTGCCAGAAGGATCAGCTCCAAAATATAAACAGTGTGGGCCACATTAAGTAATAGAGCTGAGATTTCAATTTTTCTTTCTAAAGTTTTACCAGATGTTAATTTTCATTGATATTTATTGGTACTTCCCCAAGTTCTGATTTCTGTTAGGTCTACTTGTGCCAGGGCTGCAATTTGTGCTGATACATTGGTCCCCTCTGCACTGGAGTTTGCACCTGGTGAGGCTTCAGGTAGAGGTGGACCAGTGCAAGTCCCACAAGAGGCAGGAAGAGCAGGCTGGATCACACTTCATTTCCTTTTCTGGATAATCTCAACTCATAAATAACAGCTTTACTCATCCTCACTACGTGCCTGCTGTGGGACCCTGAGTACACAACAGTCTGGATGTCTCTGACTATCAACAGGTAAGGGCTACACTTAAGCTTTACAGCAGCATGTTAAAGGATCATGCAGGTAGGAAGAGGAGAGAATAGAAGACAGTAGCAGCAGGCAAATATTTCGGCCTTGTGCAGATGAAATTTCTTGCTCTACTTAACCAAACTAAGTGCCATTTCTGGCATGCCACCAGGATTCTACATCTGAGGGAAATTTTATATCTTGTGGTAACACAGAAAATATAAATCTAAAGCAATTTTTCTTAATCAGTTTGTGTTCATTTTGGGGATTTGTACAGCTCTGGAGTGGTGCATTAACTATATCATGAACTACAGCATTGCCAAAAGGGAGTTCATCTGTAAACCTGCCAAGTTGAGAGCATTGGAAATGTAAAGTGTTGCCTTCAGGAGGAATAACAAATACTGAGGTTTGTGGTGTGTGAAACAGGTGAAAATCCAGGGCAATTCTTGAACTTTTTCCTTAAAATGATATATAGGTGACTGAAAATATATCTGCAGTGTTCTATGTGGCAAATTCAGATGCTGCAGAGGGAACTTTCCATTTCTCTCCTACTTTTTGTTTGTGTCATTACTTCAGGCAAGACTGCAAAAACTATTGTATTGTATAAACCTCTCTCAGAAACATATTGACAAAAAGAGATATGGAAATGAGAAAAAGAAATTGTCAGTTTCAGAAAACATTTAAAAGGGGGGAAAAAAAGAGAGAAACAGAGTTAGTTTAAAAGGAGCTCTGAGTAACTGCAGATGAATAGCTGCAGAAGGATTTCTATCAAAGGAAAAGGTGAAAGAGGCAAGATGAAACTCTAGCAGGAGCTTTAGTATGCCTAAGAAAATAACTCAGTGTTCCTCCTGCTGACTACCTAAAAAGTGATGCAAGCTTCCAACAAAATACAATAGCAGCTAAGTCACATTCTCATTTTTTATTTCATATCATTAACTGATTGTTAAGAGGTCAAATTGTGATGATCTCTTTGAGGTGGTGCTATAGACTTTTTAAGACTGAAAGATTATTTTTGCAAAGAACATCTAAATGCCAAAATCTGGTAAGCCCAAGTAGTAGAAAAACATGGGAAACTAAAATGAAAGTCAAAAATATACAGGATTTGGTTGGATAAATATTTTATTTATGAAAAGTTAATTTCTTCACTTAGATTTTTTTTTTATTTTTTTTTTAAATCATATAAAACACTGTTGAAAAACTGAAATTAAATGTTTCCAGTCTAAAAAAGTGTAAAAATGTTGTTCAGGTCATGCTGACATGGGACATTATTCACATTGTTTGAACTTTTTTCCAGTTCTAATTCAATAGTAAGTTTTTCAGAGTTTCAAATACTGTCATATTCTAAATGCTGAGGAACTTCTTCTGTCCCAGTCTGGCTGTTACCAGGTTACCCTTTACAGCTCTCCCAGGTTGGTACATCAAGTTTATTTAATCTTTTTGTGTAGTAATGAATTTCAAACACTTGAAGCCAAGTCAGCAGGAGATGCTGCTTAAGATCTCACACAAGAATACCCATAAAGCAAGTAGTTCTGTGTCCAAGTGCTTTCCTTGCCCCTTTCCCTGGCAGGCAGAAAGCATTGCCCTGCTGCTTCCCCAGCAACCAGGCAGCGAAGGAGCAGAGGATGCAAGAACAAATTATCTACTGCTGGGAATTAATGAAGCTTCACTGGAGTCACTGGAGCTACAAAGATTTGAACCAGGACAGAATCTGGCCATGGAGCTGTACTGAGGACAGCACAGATATTTCCAGGGTGTGTCTCCAAGCACAGAGAGAGGTTTTAGCTCTTGGGTGCAGTGCTAAAACAAGGCATGAGACGATAAACAGACACTGGCTGTTTGTAAGCAAGTATGAGGATCACACACTTTGTCAAGATATTGCTGTGAGTAATTTCTCCCTCAGTGACCTTGTCTGATAAAGTGGCTCTTTGAGAGTGATTTAATGCTGTGAAAACATCATTGTTAAGGATGTGAAAGTGGCATAAATGTTAGGTACATCTCATTATTTTGCAGTTGGAGAAGTTGAAGCACAAACTTGTCATAGGTCAAGGGAGATGTGTGGAAACATGAGAAGCAGAAAAAGTCTCCTTCCTTCTTTGAAACTTTTAAATATTCTCAAGATTACTAATATCCTTCATGTGAAAATGGATGGAGTGAGGTTACCTCACAATATTATGCTATTTAATTTCACATCTAACATCTGCCTTTGTCTGTTACACTCATTCAAAGCCCTCATACTACATATGCAATTACCAGACAAGCTTCTCAAGGTTGTTGATTATCTTGCTGCTTCAAAGCAACAGAGTTGTCCTTGTAACAAGATTATTTGCAATTACTTCTCCTTGACTATGCTACCTGCACAGTTAAAAAGAAAATCCCCAAATAAGGCGGACTCTCAAAATTAACAAGCTGATCCTTCCTTCACAGTGGTTTGGGACCACAAAAGCATGAATTCAGGTCCAGAATCTGTTTTAAAATGCACTTATATAGAAATAAAGCATTTCCATTTGGGTCAGCAGCCTCACTCGAGAGTGTCACTTTCTAATCCAGGTCGGATCCTGACACATAGATTGTAGTGCTTTAATTTACATTAATGAAGTCAAAGCCAATATGTTTCCCCAAAAACATTAATAGGATCAGATTTAAGATATCTATTTCTGTTACTTTTGATAAAGCTATAAATGAAACTAATAGGAAGCCAAAATCTCACCCTTGCTTCCTAAAACAAATGGAGTGTTTTCAGCTTAAACAAGAAGCCTCTTTTATTTGACCTTCATTTCCTTCAGGATCAGACCATGCTCAACATGCATGAAGAGCCTTGTACATAATTCAAAAGGTACACCCCACTCACTTGAAATCTTGAGGTAGATGCAAGTATTTTATACCATATATCTGCTCAGAAATCATTCATGATCAGTCTCTTACCTGCTGAGTAAGATCTTCCTTTTTGTTCATGTCCACTTCATTCTAGTTCAGGTCACCATTAGAAATGGCCTAGTAAAAATCTAGTAGAAAGATATCCCATATTTATAGGCACAGACACAATGAAGGTTAGTTCAAACAGAATTGCTGCAAAGTTCTTTTCCCAGAAGGCCACTCAGATGATGAACCATGAAGGGCAACCTCAACGAGTCATGCCCAAGAGCACTGCTTTCTGGAACAGCGCGGAAGTAGTAAACTGACAAACACACATTATTAGCTGCCTGCCTGGAAACAAAGACAGCTGAGCATAAAACTGGTTTGCTCAACTTTTCTTCTCACAAAAGGCTTTTGTCATGCAACAAGCCATTTCTATTCTGGAATAGAAGCTATTGTTAGGCTCCTTAGAGGTAAAACCTATACTGGGCATTATAACAGCAGTATGTTTTTGAGGCACATGAACAGGGATTTAAAATGCACAGTACACTGCAAGAACAACATGCAGCACCAGCCAGTTATTCTGGCTTGCATATTGTAAATTAATAGTGATGCATCTGGTTGTATTAGAATTGGAGAGGGGTCGTTTTTTGCATTAGATATCTAAAAATATTTCAAAGATTAGATAATTAAGCTTTTCTGTCTTTTTTTTTAATTATTTTTCAGGTTTAATATGTATTCAAAGGACTGCTTTTAACTGACATTTCATTCAAGTTCCTTTGGATGACATAAAATTAAAGGATGGTCGTATTGTTGTGCTTACAGCAACCCTACCTGACAATCCATCACTCAATAAATTAAAGTAAACATGATGTTCAGATTGGTGTTTTGTTATGTGAAAACTAAGGTTTGTCATTCCTTTAATATTAATAAAAAAAACAACAAAAAAAACCCCCAAAACCAAACTATAATTCACAAGTATCTCGGGCATCACCAGTCTAGTGCATAAATATAAGTGCCCAAGTTCCAAACTGGGATTCTGAAAATCCTTCCTCTTCTTGTAGGCCAGAGATGTGACTCCATCAGTTTCTGTAACTACCCCATTCTGAACTGCCCCACTTGTCACAGACCAGAGTAGGCAACAACTGGAAGTTCGCTAGTATTCAAGAAATAGGCTTACTTATAAGTCTTGATGTTTTGTCACCCAGACATTAAAAAAAATCGCCAGGACACCCAGACCATTCAATAGGACCAGGCTCCCATAAGGCAGATAGCATGGAACTCAGAATTTTGTGTTTAGAATAGTTCTTTCAAAGATGTTTGCCTCAGACTGCCGTCATACAACAGTAAGAACAATTGCACGGCTCCTTTTCTAGGCAATGCACAGCTGTCACAGACCTACAGTTTGCCATGGAAGAGTTGCTTGTGAGCCTCTTAGGATGAGTTATGTCAAGACACTTCTGAGCAGGACTACTCACACCAAATTGTCTGAGAGGCAGAGGCCAGACAGCAGCAATTCTTCTGGCTTCCAGTTTTTACCATTTTGAATGCAAGCAGGAACAACCTCAGTTCTTAATTTAAAAAAGACACACTTCAGGTTAAAAATCGAATTTTTCATAGCAAGAAAAATATTCCTCATAACAATAGTGGTCAAACACTGGCACAGGTTGCCCAGACAGGCTGTGGGATATCCATTATTGGAGGTATTCAGAATTTGATTGCAAAATGCCTCGAGTAAACTGAGACAAGTTCAGAGTTGTCTCTGATTTAAGTGGCAGGTCAAGCCTGATAACTACCACAGATGCTATCCAAAATAAATTATTATATGATTGTATATGATTGTCTGATTAATTTATACATATTTTTAATTAACTTCATTACACTCTTGCAAGTACAAAACATCTCTAGCACACTTCACATTCTGTTTTATTCTGCTCTGCTGAACAGATCATAAAGACAAGAAAGAGCAACCTCTGCTTTAAATAGTATAGTTGAGGCACCAATCCTGCAAACATTGTTAGCAAGAAACAATCTTTTCATTATGCTGGAAGAATCAACTCTTTTTATCTCAAGTATTTATTAGTTCCTCTTAAAAAAAAAATGATGTGTTTTGTTTTGTTGTGTTGGATAGAATGAAGAGGAGACAGAGGGTGTTCTCTGCCGGATCTGCCTGCAAGACACTGCTGGTTTCAGAAAAACTGTGCTGACTAGAAAATCTGAGAATCAGATCCAGAAGCTGATGGAAGCTCCATTCAGATCTACCACAACACACAGATTACTGCAAAGAGCATTGTTTGGTCAGTAACACTCATCTTCCCACCTTTGGGAAATAAGATAAATCAAGATAAATCTACTATATCTCATGAGAAAAATACAGGGGTTTATAAAAAGTGGCTTTTATATATAAATTCAGAAAAGCAGTTTCTCTAAGCTTTTGTAAAAACCTGTTTTCAAGTGGATATGGGAGTATTCTTCCTAAAAAAAGCTCTCTACAGTCTTTACAAAAAAAAAACCTCCAGGGGAAGATATCATAAGAGGGAGAAGTATTCTGACAATAGAGAGAAGGAGAGAGAAAATTAATGGAATCATGTTTATCTTACATTTATCTTATGTTTATCATTGAATTCTACATGAGATAGATTATAAGTGGTGAGTTTCAAATTCCTGAAAACCCACTTTAGCATTGGCCACAATAAGAAAGGGCCAAAACGTATGGAGTAACATTTACAGCTTGATCAGGAACACAGCTGTGAGGAACAGCCAGCCATGCTCATCCACCCCCTGTTTCCTGGCAGAGAGAAGGCATGGGTTGAAGCAGACCTGCCTCTTAAGCTTGTCCTGAAATGCTTGTCCCATCTTTCAACCCTCCTCCTTTTCTACTTCATTACAGAAGAACCTTTTCCAGTCCTAAAACCCTTCAGGTAGGTGTAGCAAAGTTCATTCCCCTTGCTAAGAGGCCTTGAGATGGTTTTAATTTGGCATTAGCATAATTATACTAAGAATGTTCTTTTTCCAGGTGTACTGACTACAAAACAGTTTTTATCATTAAAAGTAAACCAAATTCCTCAAGGGCATTTACAGTGCAGACTAACATTTTCATATCACAAGAAAAGGATCCTGAGAAGAATAGCTCAAAAAGGTGCTTTCTGGAGGAGAAACAAAGATTTACACAAAATAATCCCTTTATTTGACAATGTAGAAGTGATCCCATGAGCTTGTATAATTATTTAATTTAAATATGCAGGGCTTCAACCACAATTTATCAAATACCAATAAAAAAGTCTAGACACTTCAGAAATATAACACAGAACAAATATCACAACGTGGTTACTTAATACTTTAGTTACAGACACTTTGCATGCACTGTCTGTGATGAATAAATGCTAATGAGAAAGTGCAAACTGCTCATTATCCTATTACTAGCCCTTCAGCAGCTGAAAAAAAAAGAACCATCTTCTCTGATGACAGCTACTGTGGCAAACAACTGCCAGCTCATGGGAATGATCTGCTGGTGAGTTGATGGGAACCTTCAGACAGGCTTCACTGTCATTGTGGCTCAAAACTACTGATTCCAGCTACTTACAAAAGGGAGTTTTTTCATGTATTTTCCAAAAAAAATTAAAAAGTTGAAATTTTCACTGCTTGTACTCTCCTCCCTTTTAATTTGGTTCTCCAAGGGGGAAAACTTCTATATACTCTGAATTAATTTCATTTTAAACAGCAAAGAATCAGTCTTTGGAACATCCACCAGGAAGTCATTTTTTTTCTCTCAACACATTCAAGTTACATTCTGTTGCTAAAAAATGCTTTCTCCCATTTCAGAAACCTTCAGAATAAAAAGCCTTTTAAGTATTCTTATAGCATGTGGAAATTTCCAAACTGGTGCCAGCTGAGTAGTGCCAACTACCATCAACCCTACACAGTACTGTAGGGACACACAGGTTACAAAGTATTTTGCCAGACCTATTGCAGGAACTTTTTTTATGACAAAGACCCTTGAGCTCTCCAGTTCCAAGGCTGGCAATTACATGGCTGACAAAAGCAGGTGTTCACTAAGTCTGTCCCACACCATCATAAACTTACAAAATTCTGTATTAATACCTAAAGGCTGGTATCAGAAAGACAAATGAGAAATTAGAACATTGGAATCCCTTCAAGAAAATCTTACCTAATGTGTTACTCCACCAACAGGATATATTTCTTCTTTTACCTGTGCCTTGCCATGATTACATCATCACTGTAGCTTCTATTCACAGGGTCTTCTTCTTTCCTTTTTTTCACAGCTGTTATATTATTCAGCATCAAGATTTACAAAATATTTCAACTAATTAAATTCCATATTGCCATCCAGTAAAACAGATTATTAGAGCTTAGATTTGCATTGATCCATCTCAATTACTGTAGCTATGTTTCTCCTAGGTCCCCTTTTAAATTTTCCTCACATGGTTTTCTCTTCCTGCATTCTCAAAAGGTAGGCATGAATGGTGCATGCATTGAACTGGAACCAAAATAAGGCCATGACTAGAACAAGAATTCCTGTGCCCTGATTTCTGCCCAATACATCTTCCTTCTCCCCCCTCACCTCTTTGGTGTCAGTATACACTCACTTTCCTGGCAGTCATGCTTTGCCACAGTGCAGCTGCTGGACTGGGTGAGCAGCCATAGAGCCATGCAGCAGCTAGAGAACTGTTTCCTCTTTCCTGTGCCTCTTCCAGCTCAGTACCACATGGGAAGGCTGCCTTGCAGTGTGGCCCTACTCAGAGCTCATCACCCCATGTGGAAACACGACCTGTGATGAGGTCTGGAAAGGTGCTCCAGAAAGCAGGGCACCAGGCACTCCTTCAGTGAGCCTTGTGGCTGCAACTGACCCTGCAGACTGCAACTGGCAATTAATATGGATTACAGTAAATCCAGGTAGTGCTTGACATTCTAATTCTGCAAATTACGTCAGGTGGGCATTAGTACCATTATTCCAGTTTTACAGTACCCATGTAATTCTGTCTCACTATGGCACGGTCCCTGAGGTGAACTGCAAGAAGCTGCACTGAAAAAGTTGCATAACAGAAGCCCTGAAACCATCTGTGGCAGCTGGGATTTTTCCACCTCAATACACCTTGCAAATCCCTGGCAGATGTAAGAGTCCTTGACACCTCAATGCAGCAGTGTCACTGGCTGAGGTTCTGTAACTACAGATCTTTGCACTCTGTGTAAACTCTCCATGATTTAATCTGGAACCACACTAGTTTGGGAGTCCATGATCCATGCTGGAAGAAGATTAGATGGTTACAGTTAGTTGTCAGCATGCACCGTGACCAGTGCATCATCATTTGACTCTTGTTGCCCTCTCTTACTTGCCACCACCTTCCACAGATTATTTTTTTCCCATATACACTCAAGAGTAAAAACTTCAAGAGCCATTTGACACTATGCTTACCAGCCCCATTTTAGCAGAAGGTTGGAGAAAATTCGTGGCATCTCATGGCCTTTGTTCACATGGCTTGCAGACCCGCCAGGTAAACACAGCAAGATGTCATCATGCCTCAATCACTTCAATTTTTCCAAGATTACACTTGCCTGCTGGAAAATGAGGAGAAAAATGCCACTTAATAGATTTGGCCTTTTCCTTGGACTTCAAAAGGGAGTTCAGATGTGCCTCCACATAGCTATCAAATTGTCTGACATTAAAGCAGGTTGCCAGCTGCCATAAAAGTGCATTAACACTACAGTGAGAGGTGCTCCAAGGCAAGGCATGGACTTAGGCATGGATATCCAGAGTCTCTAGGTGGTGTCCCAAAACAAATGGAAATAAGTAAGAATGCTTACTGTCTCTTAAGAGGAAAAAAAGTGAAAAACAAATCCTTCATATGTTCTTAAACATATTTCTGCTAAATGTTTTCTCTTTGATGTATTTCAACCCTCTGTAACAGTGTTCCAGCTGGCTGCAGCCCTGTTTCCATGCTGTTAACTTGCCATCACAGTTGAAAATCACATTAGAAAGAAAAAGCAAAAGGAGAAACATCCCTCAAGTACAACAGGATCAGACTGAACCAACCTCTCTGCAGTGTGCAAACATAACATGCGTGGTAGATGACTTGTCAAGTATTTTTCCAGAGGCATTATCACTGGTTTCTTACTTACATAGTTATGCAAATCACTAAAAGTACTGTGTGAAAATGATGAAATTTAGCATGCACTTTGAGTATACCAACAATATTAAATGCCATTCATTCTCCAATCCCAAATTTTCCAATTATATGTCTAAAAAGTACATATTTATAAGTATGAGATAAATAATGATAAATTAAAAGTATCTGCTACTTTAATTTGCCCTTATAAATTGGCAAAATCAAAGAAATCAAACAAACAAAAAAAGCATATTTGCTCACATAATATACCAGCTTGTAAAAAACTTTATATCCACTAACTTTAGGGTCTTTCTCAGGTAACATCTGGAATCTTAAAACAATCCAGAGGAAATTATCTTTAAAGTTCTCTTTGCAATAACTTTTAGCACTATAGCTGAAGAGGAATTCTGCAATGCATGTTATGCTTACTCTAAACTTAAATACTTCTGATGATTAAAACTTGACACAAGCTTTATTAGCCTAAGTACCTAGATATTTTAATGTATTTGTGCTATTGCACGATAGCTTCAGTATTCTTTATTTTTATTTCCTCTGTAAAGTCCATTCTGAAAGTAAATTATCCTTTATGTTGTCTGCATGCACGGGACGTTCTGGTTTACTTGTATTCATATTCCTTTTTTCCTTAGTAGATTATTTATGTTCACACATAGAGCATATACTTTTCTTTCATTCAATAAAGTATAACTATCATACTTTTCTTTCATTCAATAAAGTATAACTATCTAGGGTACGACAGATATGGCTTGAAATCAACTTGTGCCTGAATGGATTTAGATATGCAATTCTGCCCCCTTCACTGATGCCCTTAATAACCATGTTCAAATGCTTAGTGATTCAAAGCTGTACCGGTTGAGGTTCAAACTCAAAAGTAGGGAGCATTTCTTTGCCAAGACAGAATCAAGCACTGAACAAGGTCCTAGGGAGGAGTCCATATCCCTAGACTGTCAGTGTTTAAGAGGCATTTGGGCAATGGCCTTAATAATATGCTACAGCTTTTCGTCTGTCCTGACGTAGTCAGGCAGTTGGACTAGCATTTCCAGCTAGAAACATTCTGTTCTATTCTATTCTATTCTATTCTATTCTATTCTATTCTATTCTATTCTAACTAACAACTACTGTTGCTAAATGAATAGGTGAAAAAGATGCTTAGTCCTCCTTGTTAAAATTGTTCTACTTGATACAAACTGATGAAAAAATCATTGGGTCATATAAAGAAAAGAAGTATAAGCTTAAATCTCTATCACTAGTGAAAGATTCTTCTAGACACAGGGAGAAACAGGTTTAATCTCTGCCTTGGTAAAAAGTATATACTTTATGTTGAGGTTGTTTTCTTATCTACCTTTTCTCACAGCCAGGTTTTGAATTCTCTTAGAATTCATATTCATATTAGAATTCATAGAATTCTATATGCATAGAATAGATGCAGTATGGTAAAATTAAGAATCTCTGCTTTCATTTATAATATATATTTCTATAATGTTTTCAAGGAAGCCTTGAAAGCAAGCCAGTGTGGGAGAAAATACAAGGGATAAGAGAGTAATAAACTCCTAATCTTTCAATTACCCTGCTGGTAGTTTAACAGCATCCAAAAAAAGTAGCTGTCATATTTTCCAGTTACATTAGGTGGCACCATCCTCACAGATTTATTGTTCACGTACAAAAGCTCTAAAAACATTAATTCTGAAATTATGTTAATTAATTCAAGTATGAAATATCTTGATAAATTTGATGCTTGAATTGCAACTAATAGGAACATCTGGCATTATTTAGACAAGAAAGAGTACTAAATTTTGCTCTGGAAGAAATTTCCATTGCTGAAGAAAAGGTGCAAGGAATAGCTAGCAGGAAAGCAGGAATGTTGATGGTTTACCCATAAACCTTGTTCTGTAACAGGCTTATTAAGAAGTCCACAACTCACTCTTCATCTCCAAACAGGTTCTGTTCCTAGAAAAATAATAGTTAAAACCCCCTTATTATTCAAGCCATTTAAGTGGGTTACAATAGTTTGCCAGGATTTTTTCATTCTTTGCCTATCAATGGAGGAATTTCTAAAAAATCTGGTAATTGCCAATTCCACTTTGCAACATTCATCACAATTTTGTAGTGTGGTTCTCCTTGTGTTAAAATGAAGTTAGAACTTTTAGAAATGGAATGAATGAGAGGGTAAGTGGTGAGAGCAACCAACATCAAATTCAATTAAGATCAGCCTCTTCTCAAATCATCCCTATGTCAGGCAAGGCATGGACTTACGCATGGATATCCGGTGTCTCTAGGTGGTGTCCCAAAACAAATGGAAATAAGTAAGAATGTTTACTGTCTCTGAAGGAAAAAAAAAAATTAAAACAAACCCTTCATACATTCTCAAACCCATATCTGCTAAATGCTTTCTCTTTGATGTATTTCAACCCTCTGTAACAGTGTTCCAGCTGGCTGCAGTCCTGTTTCCGTGCTGTTAACTTGCCATCACAGTTGAAAATCTCGTTAGAAAGAAATTCTTACAAGACTCATGACATTAGGGCTCCAGATGTTGAGGAGAATTCTTGTAAGAGCTTAACTTTAACACTCAATGTTTAGTTTTACCCAATTTGGAAAACTACACACAGTTCATCAGATAGAAACAGGTGGGTGTGAACTGCCTAAATATTTTAGAACCTCAGAAGAGAAATGACTTTTTGTTTCATTCTTCCATCTCTAGGTTAACATACTAGGAACTCATTTAATCAGTTTAAGTAACCTCTTTGTCATGGCCTGAGTAGTTAGAATGAAATTTATAAAGGCAAATAAATGCTATTTGAAATTTTCATCCACGTATGTTACTGATCCTATTGCTGATGATCCTCTGATGACAAGTTCACCCCAGTGTGAACTCATGCCATTTACCAAGATCACAGAGACAGATGTCCCAAACAGCCTGTGATGAATATCCCTCCACTCTGTGTTTATGTCAACACAAAAAAGCAATGACAATTCAAAGTTATGACTTTGGGTAGATGATTTAGGTAAAAAGTATGGAAGGCCCTAGATACCTTGCCATAAAATTATTATTAAAACTATCAAAGTATTTCAGTACTAAGTAAGACTGGACTGATTACAGGACACACATACACTGTTTTCTAGTGCATATTGCTGCTTGAGAGTTGAATTAAGGATGACTGATATATTCATTTAAAACAAAACCAAGAACTTGTCTCACATAACCGTGATAAAAAATATAAAATATTGCAAAGTATTTGAGTATTCGTTTTCTATTGCTCTAAAAAAATACATTGGTGTCACTGTTAAAGTGTTTTGCAAAAATGTTCAGTAAAATCTTTCTGAAAAATACTTTTAGACAGAAAGGGTTACCAGATCACTCTAAAGTGCTTTTCTGAGTTCCCACTGTTTGTAAGATAATTTACAGAGCAGATATAATGGGATTTTCAGTCAATTGCAGAATGGCAACATGTAGCTGACTAATGCACGGCATTTATATAAGTTACAAGTAATCTGGATATGTTTTCAATAGAGCAAACCACAGTAGTCCTGGAAAACAGATTTACTCCCACAAACCTCTGTATTTCTTACACACTTATTGGGGTAATAATACAGTCCATACTTAGAAGGCAGAGTCAAAATCAGAGGCTTGTTCATTGGTTATGTTACTGGGACTGTATCTGCATCTGTGAAAAAGATGCTTGACTATAAAAAACCAACCATGTCAGTTAAAAGCAGCCAGTACATACAGCAGCACATACGTACTGAAGTGCAGAATATAGTGAGTGTTTCTTCTTGCTGCAATTTTGCACATTTACTTGAGCCAGGTAATAGAAGTGGATTTCACAGATGTCATTTATCATTTGGTGTAGTGCTCCAAGCAAACATCCTTGAGGCTGAGCCACTGAATAAAATACTCATTAACTACTGGAGGTAGGAACTGGACAAAGTAAGGCTGAGTGTGCTGCCTCTGATGCCTTCTGATACACACATTTATTGTTCCTACCCTAAACACTGAAAGACGACTGCGTCAAGGCCATAAAAATACATTTATATATTGTCATTACTGTTCTTTTAATCTTTTAAATAATGATGATTTAAACTGTAACAGGTGTTCCAACAATGGTATGGAAACTTCCATGTGCACAACAGATGAATGGAGTGAAAGCACACCCAAATCAGTTTGGGAGGCCCTCTAGTAGTGCACTCGTGGCCCATCATCCTTCCTTACCCATAGTGGAGTGTGTTTTGTATATGCTTATGTGCCAGGTGGCATTCAGGGCTCAGAACAGGCCAGGGACCATTTCTAATAAATGGTTTAAATATGTCAAACCCATTTTGAAAGCCACAAGCTATTAGACACAAGAGCATGAGTCAAGCAGTTCCAATCAGCCTGAGGATTCAAGAGCTGTTCTTGGCTGCATTTATGTACTGATTTATATTTAGACCAACAGTCCA